TGATGAAGGCCGCTTGTGTTGTGGCCGAAACGTCGTGAGAATATTATTGTGTTATTTTATTTTATCAATTTATTATTTTATTCTCATTCTACGTGACTTTACCGAAAGAACCAAAGAAGATTACGTAAGCACTGCTTTAAAGATTATTTGTAACCCTTGCCACTGATATTTTAGTGGGTCGTGGTGGCGCGTTGATTAGAACACTTTTTAGAGAACCCGGCCACATGAGCTCAATTCCCGGCCATGGCGATATCGTAATCAGCTCTGCCCCAATGCTTACGCACCAACCTGCACTGACACACAGTGTGGGCAGGCTTCCCTCCATCCAGCAGTGGATTGGCAATGGGTGAAAAAATATAAAGAAAATTTTCACCAGAGACCTCTGAAGTTTCCACTGCACGTGGGCACATAAGCCCTTATTGGAAATGGCCTGATCGTAGTCATAGGTACTGGGCACTTTGTGTCTTTGTGTGCGTGAGAAACGCAAAGCAGATGTTATGGGAACGATTTCTCTGTGGCGGTTCAGTTCGCATTTGAAGAGGCACCTGCTATCTCTCTGCCTTGGGGCCCGAAGTCTAAAAAAAAGGGGTCGAGTTTTAAACAAATGAATGCCATCTGCAGCAGCCTTCCACACTGTAAACAAGATTATTGCTACCATTCCCCAAGCCCGACCCTTTAATGTTGAGACATTTTAAATAGTTACAGCTTTACGCATGTGCCCCTTTCTCATGTGTGATGTGGGGGGGTCACATGGAGCTTTTGCGGAAGACACATGACAAAGGGCCCTGTTGCATCTACAAAAGCCCCCCCCCCCACCCCCGAGGCTGTAAAGGGTCAAGGAATTCACTGACCCCTTTTCTCTGATCGTCAGGTGGGGTACAATATGCAAACATAGGTGGGACTGTGCTTACACCGGCACGACTGGTTGGAGAGAATACAAAGCTGGCTAAAATTGCAGCTCCCTAGGGAGTGCTTTTACGTGGCATTTACACACCAGCCATGCTTGGTAAATGGAATGGAGTTGCATCAAAATGTCGTCTTTGTAATGCTCATCTATATTCGTGGTCCTGAGCCTTCCAGTGGTGGACATTTCAAACCCCTATGGTGTGGACCAGTGTACCTGTGGGCTGGCTACCGTCGACTTTACATGAAGTCATAGGTGAGCAACAATGGGCTGAGTTCACCCAACCATGTCCTGGACTCATTCCAACTGTAATGTATGTTGAACTTCTTTCCCACCGTACATGGCTAACCGTGCTAATCGGAGGTGCGAGGGAAGGAAAAAAACTAAACACAAAAAGCATTTTTAAAGAAATTAGTTTTTCAATCTAGATTTAAACATGCATAGCTCCAGCGGCTTCCGAACAAATGATTACAGTAAAGCACGCATTTTTATTTTAAAGCCACTTAACTATGTACAATATAATGCTCAGTGCCACACAGCAAAAACGTAATTGTGTGGCATGACGGAACAAGTTGGAAGGAGGTTGCAACGGATAGGGCGACGTGTGCAAATCAGAGGGAAAATTGCAGGCAGACAAACGAGTGACACCCACTCGGTCGGTGACCACACGGAATACTTCAAGCCACGAAATGATAAAACTTTATGAACGTGGACTGAAGGACACATCGACGGTTACACATACAATGTAGATGGTGGTGAGACGAGAGTGGTGCTTGAATGACGCGTCAGTGTAACAAGTGGAACACGGCATTCAGATAGCGACGATGAGCCAGACTTACCGCTAGTGCAAAAAAAATAACCAGACTCTTTATTTGTATAGTTCTGGAGGAATCCGAAAAATAACCAGACTCTTTATTTGTATAGTTCTGGAGGAATCCGATGAGTTATAAAGTGTTTTTACACGCTTTTATTTAACTCACTCTGTTGTTGTCGTTGTCGTCGTTGTTGTATCCTAAAATCTTGTAACTCAATTTTAACCCATTTCCCAATGTGGTATCGACTGCAAACTTGGTATACTTATGTCATACTAATGACAATACTTTATTCTATCATAAAAAAAAGAAATATTTTTAAACATTATTTTTAATATGTTATGTTTCGGCTTGGGTATAGTTGTCCACGGTCAACTGACGTTGGCTGTAATTGCCCATGTTCTCTTACGTTATGGCAAGCTTCGGGCCACTTCTTGGAGTCGTGCAGTTCTTCCATTACTAGTTCATACTCTTTGGTTCTATTCGGTAAAGTGACGTAGGTAAAAAATAAAATAACAAAAATCACGACGTTTCGGCCACAACACAAGTGGCCTTCATCAGTTGAAGGGACCGTGCTGTCATGAGGACAGCGTTAGAATTACTAGTTCATTTCATAAAAGCGTGTTTTTAAAAAAAGTATTTTTAAAAAATATTACTTATTTTTTGTTCACAGATATCCGGATAAGCCAGGCAGCTGTGGCAAGAGCACGTGCAAAGCCCTGGAGGTCAGGTAACCAATCGACTGAAAAACAACGAGCACATGGAAGGGAGCGATGGCGACGTGAATGGACCAACGGATTTGCACACAGAACGGCGGCAGGGTGGCACAACGTGTGCCACATAAGTTCGATTCCCGACTCAGGCACCGTTCTGTAAGAAGTTGCTCTTTCTCTCTCTCGCCCCCCCCCACCCCCTGTTTCTGCATGTGGGGGAGAGGGGGGGGGTTCCTCCAGGTTCTCTGCTTTCCTCCTGTAAATAAAAAAAAATCCAACTGGTTATCGGGCAAATATCTCAACGCAGAAAAATAAAGAACGTAAAATAACGAAGTTAGGTTTATACTTCAACATTGCCCCTTGCGAAAACTTGGCAGGATATCTTCTGAAAAAAAAACGTATTGAGACCGCGGGGCTTCCCTGGCTAATCAAGAGTAATAACAACAACACAATCAACAGCTGCCACACAAGACCGAACTGAACGGCATCACCGAGGCAATAAACACGAGCTCACAACGAACGCAGTTGAATGGCTAAACATGCCATGTGTAGACACCAAATAATAATAACATTCGCATGCTCTTCCGTTCATCAGTTTCTCATCTCTGCAAAGTCGTACGAAATGAGAATAGCACGGTTGGCTATAACCTCTTGACCGTGACCAATTTGGTGTCTAAACACCAACTGCGTACACGTGTACACTTAACCCCAACCCGTGCCAAGGTTTGTTGAGCGGTCACGGTGTTGAGAATCGATGATGAGCTGCTCCCGTCAGTCGTTGTGATTGTAGCAGTGTGGCTTACCCACACTTTACCCCACACGCACGACCTGCTGCTGCTGCTGCTCGACTGTGATGTTACCCATCATTACCGCTACAGTATGTGGGGGTAAAGGCAGTGGATGGAGGGGGTTTAAGAACGCACGAACCAAACATCACGAGAACTCCGCTCATCCTCGTAGCGCCTTTTCACTAAAATATGGCTCTAGATTTTGGTGTTATAATTTATTTATGTAGTTTATAGTTAAAAATTCGGTCACAGTCCCTATGATCACTGTTACATTGGATTTATGGCTTTTATTTTGGTGATTTCGAAAACGTTTTTTTGGCCATGTTTTTGTTTATTGTAGTACGGAGTTAGACTGATGTCCTTAATCTTAGTTGTCTTGTGGTTGTTGTTATTTGACTTGCATCCCACTAGGATTTTTGCACACAGCGTTGGTGTACGGTGCTATTTCAGGAATATTTTGATGTTTTTTTCTCCTGTATTTTCTGTTTGCACAGTCACATAATCACTTTAAGATGTTTTCTTGTTCATGTTTTTGTTTGTTGCGGTTGCACTCGATGCAAGAGCCGAATGGCTCACAGGGCTATACCAAATAAATGAACTACGAACTATGAACTGCTCGCCATCGGACAAAGGTCGCGGCGATCGCATTGCGCGGCGCTCTCGGATGCCCGTCTGGAACGCTCTTCCTTCCGATATTGGGAAGCCACTGCAGATGCGCGCTTTTAAATCGTCCAGATTGAAAATTCATTTGTTTAGAATGACTTTTTTTTGTTTTCAGTTTGGTGTCCTGCCCCCGCATCTCCGATTCGCACGGTGGGCTACGTACGGTGCGAAAGACGTTCAACGTACTTGAACATTGTGCACTGGGAGATGGCAAGAGAACCGGCGACCTCTGGAAACACTTACAATGACGCTGCCTTCGTTTCTCCGTGAAAGAAGTACTAACGTTGCCTAAATCTAGATTTGAAGCTTTCGTGACTGCAAGGATTCATACTCTTTGGTTTTATTCGGTAAAGTCACGTAGGTAAAATCAAATAAGAAAACAATTAAATCACAGATTTTCTGCTGTGACTATTCCACCTGAAGACGGAAGCTTGTGTTGCCTCCGAAACGTCGTGATTTAATTGTTTTCTTCTTTTATTTTATTTTACCTACGTGACTTTACCGAATAAAACCAAAGAGTATTAACGTTGCCTATTGAAGTTTCGAAGACTCGCTGGAAGGCCACGGGGACAAGACCCAGGTGCCATGGGTTTTGACTGAGATGACTGGCAGATGCACCAAATGTGCTCCTCACTGTGCCAATTCGTGCGTTTTATATCGCCCGGCGATCCGCTAGTTGTTGTGAGCGTGGTTCCCCTCGCCCTCAGCTGTTGCTGGAAGGGCGACTGCCTCCCAACTCCCCCAGCAGCGTCCTTCACGAACCTCCTCCACCGATCATGATGCTGCTGGTTCCACAAGTCGCCGCCAACTACACTCAGCTCCACACCCTTTTGTACCACATCAGCCCAGCTCTTCTCTAGCCCGTGCCGCGCCAGTTTTAGCCCCCCTCCTCCTCCTCTATCCGGCCGGGCACGGGGTGGCCGACTAAACTAAGAGATCCAACCTCACGTGGCCCAACAATACACAAAAAAGCACCACGCCCTGCAACGAAACCCAAGAATCGCACCCCCCCCACCACCACCACCGGAAACTCGCGCACGCCCCCCTCGTCCGCTCAACAGGAAGTGACGTCACGACGAGTTGTTGAGGGGGTAGGGTATTGAGGGGGTGGGGGGGGCGATGCATTGGGGTGGACAGAGCAGCAGGAGGAGGCGGCGGCTGTGGTGCGAACTTCGTGAGCGGCAGGGAGGGGAGGGGGGACACAAAAAGTTGAATTCGCCTTCGACTCGGCTCCGTCTCGCACGAAGCTCGGCGTCCCCTGGCTTCGGAAGCGTCGCGCGGCAGCCTCTCAAGAAGGAGGGCTGGCGGGCTGGCGGGCGGGACCGAACAAAGGTGAAGCGTCGCCCCGTGTGTTCAGTGTTGCTGTGCGTTACGGAAGAACTGCGCCGCTGTTGATGATGATGCGGCGGCGGCGGCCCTTCTCTCGGTGGTGACGGCGGCGGCGGTGCTGGTGGTGGCGGTGCTGGTGGTGGCGGTGCTGGTGGTGGTGCTGGTGGTGGTGGTGCTGGTGGTGGTGGTGACGGCGGTGACGGCGGCGGCGGTGCTGGTGGTGGTGCTGCTGGTGGTGGTGGTGCTGGTGGTGGTGGTGCTGGTGGTGCTGGTGGTGGTGGTGACGGCGGCGGCGGTGCTGGTGGTGGTGCTGGTGGTGGTGGTGCTGGTGGTGGTGGTGGTGGTGCTGGTGGTGGTGGTGCTGGTGGTGGTGGTGCTGGTGGTCCTGGTGGTGGTGGTGCTGGTGGTACTGGTGGTGGTGGTGTTGGGTCTTTGCGTTGAATTCCCTTTTAACCGCTCGCGAATCACGCGGAATTTTGTTGTTTTGTTTTTGTTTGCTGCAAATCGGCAATAACTCTTTTTGGGGTCCACCGTTGCCCTTTTGTTACCCGATCTGGTTTTGTTATTCTAACAAAACCCGGCAAGGCATCGTGGACGCAATCATTTGCGGCTACCGTTGCATTTGTTTAAATAAACGCACACATTTTGGAAGCTAAGTACACGCATTTTTTGTTGTTGTTTTAAATCGTTTCTTTGTAATCGCAATGGTTGTGCATCTATGCGCAACGCTTGATCGCTACGAACACCGCCACGGTGAGTGTGTGTGTGTTTACATTGGGCGACAACAACAACATCGTCGATCAAGCAGCCACAGAGCAAAACGAACCCCTATTGCGTTAATCGGAATACGTATTCATACCGGAGAAATCCGATGAGCTACAAAGCTCTTTCCCCCCCCCCCCCACGCACTCCACGCACATCTCCAGTATTGATTGTGGCGGCTGTGGTCGCGGAGGCCGCTGTCACCCAGACAACAACAACAACCAACAGCTGAATTGACTTAAATTGTGACTTAAAACATTCGTGACTGCAGGAATGAATATTCTTGGTTCTTTCGGTGAAGTCACGTTGATAGAAAATAAAAAAATAAAATTGTAAATGAAAGCGGTCTTCATCCGCCTGATAAAGACCGCTTGTGTTGCGATCGAAACGTCGTGGGGTTTTTGCTTTTATTATTTCATTTATTTTCTATCTCCGTGACTTTACCGAAAGAACCAATGATACCTTAATTGACTACCTGTACTACTGCTGTACAGACGCCAAACTCATTATCGCCGTGACGGGAGCGTGAACTGCGTACGTCCCATACCTGTCAACCCCTTATCAGTGCCCTATCTTATTGCAGACCAATTCAGACGTTTATTGGGTGGTCCTTTTAACATCTCAACGTCCATCCTACAAAGTCCCATCACAAGGGAGAAACGCAAACAAATAGACATTCACCACTGGTAGACTCACCCACACACTCACCCACACACTCTCATACCTGTCAACCCCTTATCAGTGCCCTATCTTATTACAGACCAATTCAGACGTTTATTGGGTGGTCCTTTTAACATCTCAACGTCCATCCTACAAAGTCCCATCACAAGGGAGAAACGCAAACAAATAGACAATCGTTTGTGCTTTTGCCCGTATTCAAACGGCTGTACGCAGTATGGACCCAAAAACTCAATTTCCCTGTACAAGAATACGGGGTAAACCTGGTGTTGACAGGTATGATGTCGTGTCAAGAGTAACATTCTCCCCCCCTCTCTCCCCGCTCCGATATTTTACTTCCAATCGTATTTATGACGGTGTGATAAGAACAAGTACCGTAGATGGACTTGGAGCAAGGGACACGTCGCCTGAACGTCTTACGGCCGCGCCACGGGTCGTGACGAATGGCGAATCGACAGCTCAAGGAGGGCAGATATCGACTCCCACCGTGGAGACGGAGCGTCTAAAATAGGCCCCCTGTTTTGTGTTGGGAGATAGACGCAGTGGCGATGCGTGTCAAAGAACGTGAGAGATGGCGACGACTTGTGTGGTGCCCATCATCCAGCAGTGGATATGCAGCGTCTGTTGCGTTAAACAGTTGATTGTGGCGCCACGTAAATCAACTGCTTTGAAATGTATGAAATGTATGTTGAACTACGAATGTATGTTGAACACACCACCTTCCCTCAATGGGAAGGAGAGAAGGTGGGTGTGTAATGCACATGTATAGTACTTACATAAAGAATATTACACATGCGATCAGAATAGCAGGCATATTACTTGCTGGGTTATACTACAGGGTATTCATTCGTTCAAGTGTGTTGTCTCTGGCACACTACAACTCCCATCTTCATGCCCCGTTTAAGTGAAGCTCCGGTCTGGATAATATGAAGGGACATTATTATATTTCTTGTGTGGGTGGCATAGTTGGTTAAAAGCGCTGGCTTAAAATCGGAAGGTCACGAGTTCAGATCGACTGACCAATTGACCTCCTCTACGATGCCAATTTGAATGAGTTACCACTTTGTGAGAAGTCAGCGGCGGTCATATGGCGAGGTTGAACCCGGATTGGAAATGTGGAATTCTCACGACTGGGCCAGGATCACCGACAGAGATGAGAATCCTCCCCCACACCCCCGTCTGTTTGAGAAACACTGACTTTGAGAGAGTTGAGGTTTTTTGTTGTTGTTTAACTTTGGTGTTGCTTCACATGCTAGAAGCAGGTATATTATTCAGCTTCCAGCACTCGGAGTGAAATGTTACATATCACGCCGTGCATCGGAGAGCGTTATAGACCTTAGCTCGGGAAAACAACTGGAAAAACCTACGCAGCAAAAGCGACTGTCGATCCTATGAATGCCGTTGCTTGTGGTGGCCCTCGTTTTGCTACCGCTTTGAGGATCATTGTCTGAAATAAAGGACTCTTTGTTATAAATGTTGGGTTTCTTGGTTGCACTGAGTTGTGCTCTTGAGGCCCCCCCCCCTCATTTGTCGGACCAACATAGTCTGCAGCAGATAACCCTTCGTAGATTCTTCAAGGATAGCTGAGGTTTTCCTGCATGGAAGTTATTGATAATTGCCTACCCCCCCACCCCACCTTGTTTGTAAGCTTATCAGGCACTACTAAGGTTTGCTAGATGTTCCAGGCTTGGAAGTGTGTTTGGCAGAGGTAAACATTTATGATGTTATGTTTTCATCGGTTGTAAAGATATGAAATGTAACACATTGCATCATGTAGTGTTTAAAAGCACCGACGAATGTTCGTTTGACGCTGAATGTGAAATGAAGTTCTAACTGACCTCACGAGAATAGTGAAACGTGATTTGGTGACGCTGCTTTGGCAGTCAATAACGCCGTGGCTGTAAAAAAATACATGTAATTGGCGACGTTTCGGGCAGTGGCCATTCGTAGCACATGGCTAGATATATTCGCTCGGTTTTGATTTGCGTGGAACCAAACGAGTCTTGCCTGGGTGTGTGCTGCGAAATCATTTGGCGCGTTGTATTATTACGTTTGTGATGGACAGTTTACTTAAGTCTTTGAGCACATAAGCCGAATCCTAAGAATCGCCGAGTGTGGGTGTGGTTGAGGGGCACACGTTCTTGGCCCTTTTAAGTGACGCGTAAGCCGTGTTGCACGCGGCCACGTAAGTTCCCCACTCTTCTTCACAGTATTGTGAACACCTGGCCCTCCTTCTGTAAACTGTTAGCGTCCGGCGAAATCTGCGCCCGGCTAAATCTACGTCCAAACAAAAATGCTCATTCGGTTGTTTCTCAGAAGTTTCTCTCTAGCTCTTCTCATCTCTTGTCACATGACGCTAACGCAAAGCGAATGGTTGGGCGTTAACAGTGTGTTCGTTGGACTGCTGACTGTAAAAAAAAGCGACGAGAGAGACCCTTTGTATCTGTCGTCAGCGATCTGTCGTTACGCGCCTCACGAAAGGAAGCAGATGTTGCTCGAATCAAAGGAAATCGGCTTCTTGTTGTTCTTGTTGGATTTGTTCTGACCTTGGTCAGCAATTACAGCACTGGGCGTGTGTGCTGCCACGGCATTTTCACAGCATTTTAGAGTAAAATCATTGCTCACAAACGTCGTGCCGATGGTGTGTGATACTGAGGTGGCTTTGCAGCTCCATTGCGTAGTATATCGGCTTTTACAATTATTTCGTTTTTCACTGCAGTCACCACCTTTACGGAAATGCCTGCAATGTTCCCTGTCTTGACGCTGTCTTTAACTTCACCGTTCGCGAACGTCGACTCTTTTTTGGTAAATATTTTGTTATTAACACGGGAGCTCGTTTAGCCATTGGGGTGACAACGACTTTTAGCTATGATCTGCTTACAAGATCTACTAACGTCCGGTCACTTTGATTGCAGTTGGGTGAATTTATAAATAGACGACGTGCAATGCTACGCAAAAATTAATGCTGCACACGTAATAAATGTGTCACTGGCGCATGAAATCAAATTGCAAGCGCACTTTGTTCGTTCTGATGTCACCTTCAGAGATGGCGCCTGTTCGGTTGGTGGATTTAATATTTGTTACTGATTAATAACAGAAGACATTTGGGCTAATATTTGCACGTCGAAGACACTTTCGTTTGGACCAAGGTTAAATATTGAGCATCTGTTGTGGTGTTTCTACCGTGGCACCAGACGCGCCTCATTGTATGACGACGAGCAGAGAGTAGGAAAATAATTACCATGGTGGTCATCCGTCTTTTTGCTGATACTGACCTTTTCAATTCCTTTCATGCTATGCAGTATTGCAATTGCGTGAGCATGAGCTTGATCGCTTCATAAGGGCACCTACACCCCCCCCATCACACGTGGATATGGCTTGCATGTTTTGGACACTGTATGGCCGCGGAGCGTACTCTCGCGTTCATGAGATCGCGCTGTTAAACCCCATATCAGCATCCCAAACAAAAAAAAACCCATAAATAAACGTTGGTTACTCCAAAAACAATGGGTGGACACACAGTACCCGCTCATTGTTTAAAAATGGAGGGGCGTGTACACGGAAACTGGAAGAAACTGCTTATTCCCCGTGGGAGCAGCAGTTAATGTAAACTAGCAGGCGACTTTATTCACAGTGGCTTCTCATTGGATCCACATTGCGAATCGCGTTGTTTAAAACACTGAAAATGCTGTGGAACGTTGAGAATCTGCATTGACAACCGGTGCCAAATGCCATCAACAACGTGTCATCTGGTGTGCGTGGGGGGATGCGTTGTGACGAGGCTACGTGACACACTGTGATGTGCACGATGTGCATATCCGACGGTGTGCATATCCAGCTGTGTGTCGACACTGTTGTCTGTGCGTCATGGTTTATGGAGTGTCACTTTATGTAGCCAAGAACATGTTTCATTTTACGTGCGTGCCTTTCTGCATTCATGTCTTTGATGTGATCGTGTCGTTCTGTTTGTGACGGTTCCATGTTTGGTCCATTATTATTTGGAGACGCCATGAACAGGAACTGTATTTGCCACTTCAGGTGTTTTAATAATGTGTTTTTTTTTAAAGGTGAGCGTTCAGGACTAACCGTCCTGTTTTTATTATCTTCTTTACCAGGGCTTAACTCACTCCGGCCATAGGGTGAGGAAACGTGAGCGATGAAGAAAATTGTGACGGTGACATCACCTTGACCCGTTGGGTCGGATGTGGAAACACTGATTTGTCACAGCAAACGCAGGAACGCTTCACATCAGCGTAACGTCAACACGGAGGCGGTCCATTTAAAGCGGATGCGGCGCAGCCTCGACAACTACGGGAGCGCATTTTTATTCTTCTTCCTTAGTATTCAGAATAGAAGGGAGAACGAAAACAAGCACACGCGCGCACAAAATCATCGTCCCCGCGACATGCTGGGCTGCGGCCAACGCCTGGGCGTTTCGTCGCAAGAGCTCGCCCACGAGGGACCTTGAGAGTGAGAGAGAAGCGGCTTGCAGAGCGAGCAGCGGGGACCGAGGCGGCAGGCATCGGTCGCGATGTCTTCTTACGAGACGGGCGCGCTGCGTCGCGGGGCGCTGGGCAAGCGCAGCGTCTACCAAGAGGCGCCCGACAAGGGACTCGTCAACGAGCCTGGCCAGAACAGCTGCTTTCTCAACAGCGCCGTGCAGGTAAAAGCCGGGCACAGAAGACTCTTGCTGGCGGCTTAGCGGGGTCGGGGGGAGCCGCTGCTCATGCGGGTGTTGTGTGTTTGTCGATCGGGCGATGGTGTGGGGTTGTGTGAGAAAGGTGATTCTTACCAAGATTTTGTCTGCAGAATATTTTAGTTTCACGCAGAGGTCCGCGCTGATTTGAATACTCTTCAAGGAATTTAATTACGCGTAAAGAACACGTTTTCAAATTGGTTAATTGTTTTCTTTGATGATTGCGATTCTTCTACCAATGTTGAACAATTTCATCATGTATATTTTGTTATATTCGTATGTATCTACACCATATTTAAAGTGTATCAGATCAGCGCACAAACATGCAGTATTTCTGGTTTTTTACGCCTGCATTCTTTCAGTAGAAATATGAAGGAAGTTTTGGAGACAGTGGAATGTTGGTGGGGGTTGTCATTTTTGCTGACATTCTTGAGTCATGTTTTATTTTTGAATGTGGACTGTTAACCAATGTCAGATTGAGTAGTATGCAATTGCCATACTTTACACAAGATACTTTAGTAAATATTTTGTTCGGTTAACACTCTTTACTTACCATCGCTTTAAATGTGGTAATTACATGTTGTATAGAGTGTTGTTTGAATTAAACCAGGTATTTTTGTAGTATTAAACTGTATTGTACATTAACGTACAATAATTTAACGGTATACAGTTACATCCGTAATCGCGTACGTGCGATTATACTGAAGTTTTTTTTCTTCCGAGTATAATAGTGATCTTAAATGTTTACAAGCCTTTAAACCCAGTGAGGGATTACACGGATTCAGGTTTTTCCAGTTTTTTTGGCTCAAACAATGGCTTTGCCTGGTGAGACCTCTACACCATTTTGGAGCTTCACTCTCCCTCGAGTCTCTCGGGCAAAAGCCTGCTTGGCCGCTCATTAGAACGCAAACGAATCAAACGGTCATTTGAAATGAAGCCTTTCATAAGATCGTTATACCACATAGGATATACGTCCAAAATACCTAGCTGCCACGTGACGCGAGCAGCTTAATTGACGGTGGTTGTGCTTCCTTTTATTTATTTTTTTTAGAAGACACCGTTTCTCCTATAAAAAAAGCGGCTCTGCCCTGCATTGCCAAAAGCAGGAAAAGGCAGAACAAACGCTGGAAGTTGACAGTTGCGCCGCCGATTCGCCCGTTCCACCCGTGCTCGGGCCTTTTTTGTGCGGTGGCTTTTTTCGCTAACGGGCGGCCGTCCATTTCCTCTGTGCCCCTTCCTGCCGCTCAAGGTGCTGTGGCACTTGGATGTTTTTCGGCGAAGTTTTCGGCAGCTGACTCAGCATCAGTGCCTCGGGGAGGCCTGCGTCTTCTGCGCCCTGAAGGTAATGTTGTGCCCCGCGCCGTACCCAATGCTCTGGCCTTCCCACCCCACACCCCACGACTCCCGATCGGTGCAGTCTGTTCTCCTATAACGCGGTTGTTGCGTTCTTGAGGAACACTGCATTATTAAAACAAATTAATATATGATATAGGATAAAGCACAGTCCGTGGTAACACGTGGGATGTTTATGCAGGCCGCAAACAACCTGTTTTAATATTCTTGGTTCTTTCGGTAAAGTCACGTAGAAGGGAAACAATACAATTCTCATGAAGTTTCGACCGCAACACAAGCAATCATCAACATCATCATCAGATGATTGCTTTTATTGTTTCCCTTCTATGTGACTTTACCGAAAGAACCAAGAATATGAATCTCTGCAGTTCACGAAAGCTTTCAATCAAAACCTGTATTAAGGCCGAATAAATACGGAGGTGCGTGGGTAGCATCCAGAAGCAATCCAGCAGCATCCCGCCTTGTGTGATGCTACGCCGAGGCAGCCGTACAACCGCTGATTCCTGCTTGCGCAATGGAGTTCTGTTCACTCCATCGCATTATATCCAATTCGCATCCGCGTTTTAAAAAAATGTGTTCCCGAATACATTCATCGCGTTATATCCATTTAATGTTATGAAATCACACCTTATAGGAGACCAGACTATCACTAAAACTCAGCCAGGCAACACACTATTATTGTTTAGAAGTGTAAATCTGACTGTTTTCCCTACCTCGCACAGCGGGGTAACACTCTAAGGGAGTGTGGTTTCATGTCTGACAAAACAAATATAAGATGATCGAAACTTAAACTGGACCCCCGGCAATAGAGCGTCTACAGGGTGGGGTGGAAGTTCATATACTAATGTTTTAAAAGCCTTAATACAATTTAGGGTCAAGGTTTGATTTAGCACTTGATTCTGTTTTCTCTAATTTTCACCATAACCTTTTCATTGTGTCTCATTGTTTTCTAACTTTTTCATACGCTTTAGTTTATTTCTATTTGGCTAAATGTAACAGCATAAATCATAATGTATTCATTCATGCACAATTCGATGCATGTATCTGGAGTGGGAGTATCGATTATTCACCTGAATCTGATTTGTTATGTGCCCATTGTCTCGAGTGTCATAGTGGAGGTGGGTTTCATTGCTGTGCACATTTGTGTCGATTATTTTCTAATTCAAATAATAATTGTAAACTTTCATATGACCGTTCCTATAGAAACTCGAGAAAAGTCACATTTTGCAGCTATCAGAGATGGCGTGTTCTAAAATATGAATGTTACGTGATTTACAAGTCTATTAAATGTTGAAATCAAACTGAGATACTACAATAAGGACACGTGGATCAAAAGTATATATAAATATCGCGAGACGTCATACCAGCTGTTAAGGAAAGTAAGTGGGTTTAGACAGGCAGGACACATGCCCAAAATGTGTAATTGGCTGATGGACGAGACTGGAGATGACATACACAGCAAAGGCAAGACCTCACGTGCAGGAGTGAGATGGATTACGGCATCCTCGGCACTGTAAGGGGGATGGTGACTGTGTGGAGGCCTTCATCTCGCGATGGATAGGTGATGTTTGCTGCTGATGATTTGGTTTGATCCAGCATGTCTGAAACTCTACCTGCTCTCATATCCATTCATTATATTGACGTTGGCTTTCAAATATTAAATGCCTCTTTAAGGTAGCACAATAATGCGAGCGCTATTGGCCTTTAGGGCATTCGCGCCAGTCTTTATACCCTGACTAGTACTCTTCAGGGGAGAGACGGGTTTGCCATTGTGCAGTGCTGTGCATTCTCGCTTGAGGGGGAGGAAGGGAGGGATTTTGTTGCATGTAAACACTGTTGTGCTTGAGTGAAGTCTTGCGTTGAAAGGCAGAAGTCTATGAATGTTAAACAAGTGTTTATTAGACACAAGCCGAGGGGGGGGACCCTTGCTCCCATTAACAAAATGCAGCCTGTTTGCCAAAAGCTTTGCTTGCTCCATTTCCCTAAAATAACTTACCGAGCCACCAGCTCGAGAGAACGTTCAGAACATATTTGTCTTGCATACTTCACCGTGTTTTTACAGTTAGGCGGGCATGCTCGATTGCGAGAGCCGGAGATTGTAAATTTAACAAGGGTAACTTTATTCCATTTCCTGTCTGCTCGCGCAGTAAATCTGTCACTCGACGATGGTACAATATGCACACGCTCAAGTCGGCACGAAAAATCGTGGCCATTTTCCAGCACAGTGTGTTACTTCTTATAATGTTTGACTGTTTGGCTTATGATGTTTGGCTCTGAGAATGTGTAGTACAATAATAATGCCCATTTATTTACCCAAGAGAGGTTGACCGAGTCTAGAGACTCGCCTGCATTGGGATATCTGTGAGTTCTATTTTTGAGAATTTGGCATTTCAGAGGTAACTGGCATACGGAGTGAAAACTCAAATGTGAGCGGATAACACTTAACACCTCTGCACAGATAGATGCAGTCCACAGAGGTGTACCAAATACATGGAACGTATGAGGACGGCCCATTGTTGTCATGCTATCTCCTGGCAACCTCAAAAAACAAATATATATGCCTAGAATTACCTGGGTATGCACTGGTGGTCACCCATTTAAGTATGAACAAGACTCAAGCCCTCCTTAGCTTCTGAGTTGAGAAGAGATCAGGTGCATTCAGGAAAAGGAGAGTGGTTTGATTTATCATCATCATCACATCATTAGAATCGGCGTGCGATTTTATCTATCTGCTGTTGGATGAAGGCTTCCCCATGGTGTCACCATCTATCATGGTCCTACAATGTCACATTCCATTTCGCTCCTACACATGAACTAATTTCATGCCTTCTAGCGATGTGGTAGACCTGCATGGGGTGGGTTTTCTTATTTATCTGCCATTCCATCAACAGTGTTGCTTATCAGCCTCTTTTGCAATTTGTCCTGACAAGACTTAATACCTTTTTTAAACTGGAATTTTAACCGTCCAACTATTACGTTAACTACATTTTCGACAACATAGCTTTGCTGTGTCAAACGTTTATTGTTGTGTTTAAATGGAGAGCAGCGAGGCTTGTTTACGCGATGCACAAAATGGATGTTTATTTCAAGACGAGTTGAGTGGGATTTTGTTTTCCACTGTCTTGCTCTTGTGCAACCAAAGCATATCTTTTGAGCTGCGATAATCCTGCATTGTGTGTCTCTGTGTAGCGTAAGCTTCCCTCAGTGGGTATTCATTTACATTTCACCTCTCCTGCCACGCTTAGTTTTTCCCACACGACCAATGAATAATGAACTGTCCTGGGGTCGAAATTAATACACCCCTTTTTAAAGGGTCAGATGGATCCAATGCTATTTGAGATTCTATGCTTTGATGCAGACATTAGGTAAAAAAAAACATGACGCTTGCAGGCAATTGTGTGATATAAAACAATCAAGCATCCCCAGACTATATTTCTTGATTTCAGGCACTGACAGAATCCTGATTTACGACCTGTAGCCACCAGTGGCACACTTATCATGTTTTAGTTGAGATTGTACGCTATGAAGAGATACCATTGCCTGAAACGTCGCCTTTTATATTTTTATTTTAAAGCCACAGTGTTATTGATTAATCTGTTGACGGTTTTGTTGTTATTTGTGCTTCTGCATCACTGCCAATGCAGTTGGCACCCATTTAATTTACATCGTATTCAGATCTGAGCTAAGTGTGTGTGTGTGTGGGTGGCTGTTTGAGCAACTGGACACTGCGAGATGAGGGATGGGTGTGCACTGCTGTCTGTGTGTGCTGGCTCGTGCCAGTGTGCGTGCGGTGGAAGGGGTGATAGCACGCCCGGAATGTGGCTCCTTGCGTTCCTGCGAGAGCCCAGTGATGATACAATCCATGTGTTTTACGGCTCCGGCCATGCTGCTTAAAAACAAAACCAGTTACAAAGGGCACAGAGAGGAATCTCATTTTGCCCGTTGTTATTGTGAGAGGAATGTGTCCTCGGGCTAAGCCACGCCTAATACAATGCCTTGTTCATATGCTACGTGGTTTGTCACATTTGTGGGCAGTGAAGATCATTCTTGACAGAAAGTTTAAAACTTAAGTCGGGCCCCGTGTTTTTTGTTGTCATGAGAAATCTGCTTGGCAACGGCATTTGGAATTAATGGTTCATTGTAAAACTGAAAATAATTCCACGAACAATAGCAGTTGTTATTAGTCATGTAGAGCAAGGTTTAGGGTGGGTTGTGACTTCATTGTCGTTAGTTGTGTGTGTTGAGTACTCGATGTCCTTCAGAAAACAATACCGTGCCCTCAGTCAGTAATGTACTCATTGGCCTCGTGAAAGTCAACTTCATACCTATTTTTAATATTCACTCTCAGCAGTTTGCAGGGCCCCATGTGACTTCCAATAGTGATCTCAAGAGTCTTTGGTGGGCACTGTAAAACCTTGTGCAAAAGAGATGTTTCAAACATTTTAAGTCAAGGTGTTGGAAGGAGTGACATTTTCTTTACGTTATTCCAATTCCTGGAATGGTTAAGCCAGATTGGTGAGCTCCAATAGAGGGTTGTACAAGCGGTCTTTGGCAACAACAGGTTTCGAAAAAATGTAGGTGAATGAATTGAATCAATTACGTAATTTCAGAGTTAAACGATAACACGTCGTTTGCCAGTGTTACAGAAACTGCAGCCAGAACCTGCTCTAGATAATCCAGGCACCCCCAATGCATCATGTCTTGTCACATGCACACCTGCTTGTCATCAGGTGTATAATGGCTCACATTCTGCCCAGCCTTAGTGTCAGTCGATAGGATAAGCTCATCCACCTCGAGAGGAAAGTGCCCATTGTATTTGGTGGTCTGTGAGATCACTCGATTGTACCCATCTAATCTGGTGTCTGGGATTTGAGCTGCCTTCGCAGTGTATCGCAACACATCATTGTTGAATTCAGGTCACACTCGTGTTTTGGACATCTGCAATTGTATATGTTTATAGTATTTTAACTCATCTACTCATTTAATCAAGATAACAACTCAAGCATAGTAGGGTTTAAAAATATATTTTCATAATCAAAACCAAAAAACTCTTAAAGACGTCTGCTATTTTGGGAGCATGATCGTTTAGATATGGGACGTATTTGTTGTATTGTCTAACTATTTGCAATACTCAAATCACATGGACTTACAATTCCTATAGTTCAATGAAAAATCATGAGTCTCTAACTAGGATGCCTTACTGGTGCAACATGATGGTGATGTGCTGCAATAAACTGGACCACATGTTACAATATAAAATGTACAAGAACACACATTACATAGCTGTGAGAATTTTTATTTTCATAACTTGGCAAGGCTCTTGAGTTCTTTTTGTTATCATTCATATATAGAACACATTTTCGATAAGAAATATCAATATCCTCATAAATGCTTACCTTCTTTGCATACCAGTTTTACCATGCAATGTGTTTTTATTGCCTCCCAGCATCCCGTCAGCATTGTACCAACACTTGCAGGACATCTCTAATAGCAGCGCATTGCACAACCACGCTGCGATAAGATATTACTCGCACACATCCACAGAAACTTTATCCTTGCCGCATTACGTGGGCTATTGCCCATTGAAAGTCGCTGTACCTTGAGCTGTGGCTAGTGTTGGATAGACATTTCATATAAATTAGTAATCACCTAATGTTTAAGAGTGTTCAAGATGTTACACAGACTACTGTTCGTGTTTGTGAAGTAAAGCCCAAGCGAGCATATTTAGTCACAAAATATAATAATGGACAGACAAGGGTGGAGCTGTGGTGCAGTGGTTAGCAACCTGCGCTATGAACCCAGAACCCTGCGTTTTAATCCTGGCCACGGCTACCATCGGTGGCGAGTGACATCTGAGCTGCTCCTGGGCTTCCCTCTTCACCAACCCGCATTGACCAATGTGGCGACGTCTACAGCATCACAGAGTTTCACATTACATTGCATTTAAATGCAGTCACATCACAAGACATTGTAGTGCGGGCCTATTTATTTCCTTGAGAGGAATAGACACTGTAGGAAACTAGGTGTTTTAAAGAGTGTGTTGTTGTGTTATTTTGGTTTGGTGGCTCTTGCTAGCCTTTTACGATCTAATAAAGCACCCACTATTGGTGATCTCTTGAGTGTGGACTTGGGCAGGGAGTTTGGCAGCACAAATGGCAGCGGGAGAGTAATTCCAGATTATGGGGGGGGGGGAGTAGAGGAGAACGAGTGGCACCCCCACCAACTCGGTAAAGGTTGACTGGAAGCTTCAACTGAAAGCCTTGGTTGCTGGAGCGGAGAGTGCATGGATGGGAAATGAGAGAGATGAGAGGTGAGGAGAAGTCCATTTATGGAGGATCTCGATAATGTAGGGTGTGATCTTGAAATTGATCGAAGGTTAGATTTGGAGACAGTGGTGGGGGAGTTATTGCAGTATTGGGGTCGTTGAAGTATGGTCAAACAATCCACATGGCTGACGTGGTGAGCTAGGCTTCCATGCAGCAGTGTATTGGCAAGGTGCTGTGCACATGTGAAAGTGTACAAAATACAGTCACATCCCAAAATGTTCTCGTGTATAATAGATAATATTGGGAACATGCTTACGAGAGGATGAGCGTTATCAGGAAAAGTAAATGATGTGCTATGTATAGTCACACGGAAAGGAAAAGTGGAAAGTCTGTACCCTGGACTTGAACAAAAGGAGTACGGTAATGAGAAATCTAAGATTCAGGGAAAGATTGTAAATATTTTCACCCTCTCTACTTTGAAGAAGAGTCATTGCCTGAAGCTTCAGCCTACTATTTATTTCCGTGAAATTACTCGAATAATGATGAATGTGGTGAGTTTATAATTTGTGTAAACATGTACATCATGATTTTTTAAATCACTTCATTCAAATATTACCGGTAAGCTATGCTGAACAAAGGGACAGATAATACAAGAGATAATACACGTGAGACAAATAGAATCCTGTCTTGAGTTGAACCATGAGTCCTGTTTTGTTACACTTTAACTTGTCGCAGTGAGACATTGGGTGAATCATTGCACGCCAACTAACAATGATTATAGCCTGTAAGCTCCATTATCACCGGACGGGGTAGAGCGTCTCCTCCTCCCTCCGGTGTAATTAGCGGTCCTGTGACTGCTGGCTGTGTTTTTCGCGATGCTGCTGCAGGCGCTCTTCTCTCAGTTTGAGAGCAGCCAGCGTGACGTGCTCACATCGGACGAGCTGCGGCGAGCGCTGGCCGAGACCTTCCGTGACGAGCAGCGCTTCCAACTCGGCCTCATGGACGACGCGGCTGAGTGCTTTGTAAGTCTCACCCCCCCCCCCCCTGGCCGGCTTTCCGGCTTCGTGGACGACGTCGCTTGTACCTGTCAGTTCTCATGCCTATAAAATGTAAGGTTTTTATTTTATTTTTCAGAAGTGACCTGGTCGCAAATGATTGCGCAACAAAGTGGTTTTATCATTTGTAAATTTATAGCAGACAAATACTCAGAACGCATGGTTGTTCTAATTGTTGGAGGGAAGACCCGGAGGACCCGGAGAAAAATCCACGCAAGTGCAATTGGCCTGCATACGTTTGAACACTTGCAGGCGGGCAGGCAGAAGCTCACATGCTCAACGTGTGTTTGTGCATTCATATATATGCATGTTTCCATACGCGTCTTTCTTTGTACAGTTGAATCCTCTAACAAACTGGAGTCTACTTTAATGGATTGGCTTCCCAGCGTGTTACACCTGCGCATGCTTGTTTTACAGGGGAAATTCTGGCAGCCCAATTGGCACATTGCAGAGCAGTGCAGATTATCAAAAGACGTGCCTATCTTTTATTAAATCTCCATGATGCTGTGCAGGATTACGCATCCAGTGTAATTATATTAATGAGCTCGGCGTGTGCACACCACGTGGGTTATTAAGTTTGTTTTCGTACAACACAATTTACTTCCCTTACCGATGTTGAATTGCCTGGATTGGCTGCTCGTGTAACCTTTTCACATATTTCAACAGTAAAGGTTATATGAATAGAAAATGTGTGGCAGAGGTGTGTTTGCTTGAACAAAAAGGGCCCTTTTATCCTCTTCCAACTCTGACACCACTTCAACATACTTTTAAGTACGTTTCAATAATACCGTAGATATAGGATTTCACATTCTTGAGTTGTGGCAGCAAATTCCAGTTTGCCTATTTTTCGTTACGTGAATTCCTCGTTTCTTTTTCAGCTAAAAATAACTTTAATATGTTACTTGCAAGTCTCGTGAATTATGGTGTACGCTCCAAAATGAGGCTGTCCAGTTATAAACACTTGTGTTGTAATTGAGTAACGGCAATTGACATTCGACCTGTCCGGGACATACGATATCAACTGTACAGCCAGCCCTTGCACTCGGTCACTGCAGCCCCGTTGCGTTAAATCAACGTCAGACGGCAGCTCAAAAGGAAAATCAATATTGTGCTACACCTCAAACACTTTCCACCTCATTTGTTACACAAGCAGCCGATTGAAATCCGCCTTGATTAACAAAATAAACCACCCCCTCCTTTTCGAGAGTTGAATTTTAAGCATGTAGTGCTGCTCGTGTTCAAACGTATGCAGGTGCTTGGCTGACTTGGAAACTTGGGGGGAAAAAGAAAACATGAAAGTAGCTCGGTGATGGTCGAAGGGGGCAATATATCTCACGTCCCATTGTACCGTGAAGCCACTCTTTCACTCGCCTGCTCCCACATTGGCTTAAAGAAAGCTTTTCAAAAAATGCTTGGCTGAATCAACATGAATAGTGCCAAGGTGTTTTGAAACAGTGTGTCGTTGTTTTCTTTTGGTTTGGTGGCCTTTTAGGATCTAATAAAGCACACGCTATTGGCGTTCGCTTTTTACCCGTGACTCACGTGTGTGCACGATGACTTAAACAAGAGAAGGATGAGCGTTGTTTGCAGGGTTGTGATTCATCCTGTGGTATAAATCGGTAGCCCGTGCTTAAAGAAGCAGCTTTCTTTTGAAAATAAAGTACAATCATTTCAATCGAATACAGATGGTAAATGACTAATGAGTTCGGTGTCTTCTTATTCAACGGTGTAATTTTGGAAAGTAACGTCCCATTTTAGTAAGCACTGCCCCATTTTAGCAAGTAGTGTTAGTAAATCCAGGATTTAGTGTAAAGTAAATGTACTAGATTTGAAGTTTTCGTGACTGCAAGGATCCATACTCTTTGGTTCTTTCGGTAAAGTCACGTAGGTAAAAATTTAACAATATAAAACAAAAATGAAAAAAACTAAATAAAATCACGACGTTTCAGGCGCAACACAAGCATCGTGATTTAATTTAGTTTTCACTTTACCGAAAGAGCCAAATAGTAAAGTAAATGTTACTCTTTGGACTACACAATGGGCAGTTTTGTTTTACATTGGTGAGTCACCTAAGCAAATAAAGGTTAAAGAGTAAATGAAGGTCGGTAACTAATGCCTATGGCAAGATCCTGTTTGCTTTAGACACTGCTTCACTGCTAGATAAGTCAGTGACATCATGCGAAATAAACCGGAAAACACAGTTTTAACACAGTTGGCGATTTTAACAAGTGATTAAATGCAGTCAAACAACGAACCACGAATGCGATCATCCTTTACTTAATCAACAGCTGGGAGTGCAGAACCGTGTGATTGAAAGAATGAGCTCAAGCAATTAAAAGGATAACCATTCAAGCATTTAATACAAATACCTTTTGTCTTTCACTTAATCATCGGTATAAAAGAGTAAACGCATGGCTTTAAAGAATAACATCGGACACCACTTGAATGTTGCCCGAGCTGCATAATCGCATGAGTGTTTTGTGTAATTGCAAGGTGACAATGAGCCAGCCCTGAGGCTTTGTTCCGCACTGTAGATTTGAACTCTGCAGAACATGCATTTCCTTTTGAAACTAAAACCAGCAAAGCTCTACAGAGAGCAGGGTCTCATGTTTGTGAGTCACATTATGGTGACGTGCGCTTGTTCATTACCATAATGCGGCTCACAAACATGACCTCCTGCTCTCTCTATACCTTTGTAATGTAATTAATGTACGTACGCATGCGTGTTTGTGTGTGTGTGTGTACACGGTCGTGGGGAGCGGTGGTGCAGTGGCTAGTACGTTGAGCTCGTGGTCAACACCACTGACGAATATCTGAACCGGTCTAAGGCTTCCCCTAGGTCAACTCGTCCCCAAATGAGTACCTGGTGCTTTCTGGCCTGCCAGCCTTCATAGTTGCTGGCCCCACAGCACTTGCCCCTACAGTCTGTTCAGGCTATACGGGGGGGGGGGGTGGGGGGGGGGGGCGGATCTTTGTCTTTGTACACAGTCATAGATTGTGAATGTTTTAGCTGACTATTGTTTTCCATTGCCCAGGAGAACCTGATGATGTGGCTTCATCGCCAAGTGGCTGGCGAGGGCCACGAGGACGTGTGCACGTCCACCAATTGTATCCCGCACCAGAAGTTCGCCATCGCGCTGTTTGAACAGGTGCGTAAACTAAGCGTGCAATGATCAACCTCATCTTTTCCCCCCCGGGCAATTAAATTCGCGTGACTTTGTCTGTCCTTTCTTATCCTGGACAGTCTCATTCCATTAAGCCAAAGGTTATTTTGTGTGTATCATCACACGTTATGTCCTCTGCTAGATGAAGGGGCCTCCCCAAGCAGTTGCCACACCTCATGGTCTCGTGGTGCAGCAATCCTTTTTGGCTCGTGCGCGAGAGCTGATCCCATCACTCCTTGGTCTATTGTCTCTGAGAGTTGCCACTCACTCCATTGTCGCTCCTAACGATCGTCCGTCATCCATTCCAGTGACATGTGCTGCCCAAGTCTGCTTTTCTTAACAGTCAACATATCTACAATTTGTATTTGTTCTTTGCTCCACGTTATTCCTCTTTCACTGCAATCCCAGAATGCACCTCTTAATGCGTCGTTGCATACTTTTCAGATTTTGTCCATTTTCTTTGCCATTGCCCACGTGTCTGATGATCCTTAGGTAATCGCGAGGAATAGGTGGCGATTATAAACATTTCTTAATTTGTTTCAGTAAATTGTATATTTTTTTGCTTTTCTTGATCAGTCACAGTTTCCCAACAGTGTTAAATGAGTAACTGACTTGGCATATATACATCAGCAATGGAGAGACAAAGGTGGCCAAGCGTGGTGCTAGTTGTGCTAGCCTTTGCCCTCGTGTGTCACTGTTACCTTGTTGGGTGGTCGCTGAGAGCACTTGCCTAAATAGTTTGACAAGAAGGGAGATGTTTCTTTTTGTGAATAGATTTTTAAAGGGACTGTTTGATGTTGTTTAAGTTGTGACCCCCACCCGTTTGGATGTGCTCAGTGTTTATGTACCCACTGGACTTGTGTTATTGCGTGTTTCGCCTTATAAATTGAACAATTGAACATCTCATTTGTGCTGATACGTGGACACTATTGTTCTGTGGAACATATTATACAATGCATATGACATTCATTGGTGTTATTCCACGAGCATGAAAGTGTGACCCTTTCATGACCTTGGCAGCTATATTCTTCAAGTGCCTGTTGGCACGAGTCCATGACTAACACATTTGTGTGGGAGTGACTGGCAACTGTGCTTTGATAAGTGCACGATCTAGCACTAGCTGGCCTCTGGAGAAAAGTTCAGGATTCCCCATTACATGACAACAGGAGCTTGTGTGCTGAACGCCACCAAGACTGTGAAATAGTAGAGAGGTTATGCACAGGAGTTGTGTTGATTGTATCGATGTGCTGTTTTTGGTAATGCTACTACATCTGATTTCTGTGAAGCTTCACCGTTGGCTTGGTGGTTTACTATTACTGTATATAGAATGAGTTTGGTAACTGGGGTAATGTGGAAATGTTAAACTTGGTAAATTTACCTACAAGTTTGCTGATTGCGTGAGCCCATTTGGGCTTGTTGTAGTGGCAGAGCATTAGACATTACAACAACTGTTGACCTTGCAGTGAAAGCTGGAAAATTATTAACGCATGACCTTCAGGAATAAAAAATAGCCCAATTAAGAGATTGAAACCTCTCGAAGCTGGCTTGTATGGGGGAAAGCCATTACGGTTATTTCAGATGTTGGTATACTATAAATAATCAAATTCTGCATAATTATTTACGTTAAATTGTGTTTACACGTGATTAACACCGAGCACATTTAATTAGCATGTTATTAGTAAATACCAACTAAATATTTACAATTTAATATGAACTCTTTGAAAGCACTGAAGAAAATCACCATGTGTACTGTACAGTTTAAGTCACTTACCGTCAACATAAGCAGAGTTGGGAGGCTGAATCTTTAAACGCCTAGAAGCAGAGGCTGAGTCTAATCGGCTTGAGTTTATTTGTAAAATGAATATAAATCTATAATTCTCGCAAGAGAAAGGGAGCCCTGGCAAAGCACATGGATGAGTGCAGCTTTTAAGCATTTGGTGCACCAATTCCATACAACAGATAAGTACAGAATGTGTATATACCTATAGAATTGCAAGTTAATGATATTTACTGTTTTGAATTGTCTGGGATAGTATTTTACACTTGCAAGTCTCAATAAACAAATATAGAATTTCCTGTACAATCTTTGCATCGCGTTCTACATCTAACCCTGGGCAGCTTAATTATCGCACACAGTGTTCCGAGTGGAGTTTTTTTGGTGAATAAAAAAATAGGTATTAATATTTTTAGCATTTCTGGCTTATGCTGAATTTTGGCTTATGCTGAATTCTCGCTTATCTGAGTTTGGCTTCAAAGGTTTTTATCGTCTATCCATGATGTTTATTTTCTGATGTGGAACCTTAAAACAATCCTAGAAAAATAAAGGCCAGTTGGCAAGTCCACATTTACCATATATCCCCTGGCCAAATAAGTTAAACCTCTGTCCTTGTGTTTTTTTTCCGATGGTGCTCATGTGAAATAATGACATGTTAAATACACATGACCTTGCTTGCACACCTCCACGATTTTAGACCTACCTAGCACAAAGCAGAACAGTGTCTCACCATTGAGCTGCCAGCTGCTGCAAAAAGCACATCTCAAGCAATCGTGGGTTTATAAGAGCAAGGGCGAGTGCGCAGCATCTCTCACTTGCACAATCAATGCCCCTGACCCGGGATCTGTCGGGGAGCACCCCCGGCTCGTGGGACCGGCGTGCAATTTCCGCTTCGCGCCTGTCACTCAATGAAAGTCCTCTCTCCGAGTCAAGGATGCCGAATCGGGAGCATCGCAGCGTGCGTGAGCGCGAATAAATAAATAAGAGGGGTGAGTAAATGAACGTCGCCGGAGCGTTTCCCCATTGTGTCAATATGATCGTGTGTGTTGTCTCCCGCAGTGCGTTTGCAGGCGCTGCGGAGCCACGTCAGACCCCTTGCCTTTCATCCAAATGGTTCACTACGTCTCCACAAGCGCGCTCTGGTGAGAATCTGAACGCCGGCTGATGTTCGTAGTGTTGGGCTGAAGAGTTGTGTGCTCTCAATTAATGTCTTGTTGATGGAGCAGGAGTTGTGTTCTTACTGCACTGGACACAGACGCCATGGCGTTTACCTTGTCAATGCCAGGGCCTCCACTTCCATACAAATTGCCTCCAAATCCCTCTTGAGTTTCTCGATTGAGCTGTAGTCTTAAGGGAGGGAGGAAGGAAGTGGTGATGAGTGTTTTGTGGCAACAGCAGCGTTGACTCTTGTGACCTGTTAACCTTACATATATGAAGACAAATATCCACCATATAGCCTTAGCATACTGTTGGGGCAAGGGCTGTTAGCGAGTGCCTGTGAAGGCCAACATGGTGCACAAGGGGGTGGATGGCCAGTGCACCAGGTACTCATTTAAAGCTGAGTCGACCTAGGGGGAGACTCAGGACCAGTTCAGATATCTGCTACTGATCTTGCCCGGGAGCAGGAATCGAAGTTGGGTCACCGGATTCATAATGCAGTGCGCTCATTGTTACACTACCGTTTCCCCCAACCATTACATACACATGCTGTAGATACACAAACATTATAACCAGGTGAGCGCCCTTTAAAGTAAACATCCAATTTGCCAAGGAGAAACTGGGGTAAACACTACGGTACAAAATATCTCAGTGTAACAAAAACAGATGAGCCAACCATTAAAAATAAAGATAATATATTTTTAAAAGCAAAATAAAAGTATTTTATTCTATACATAATGTACTAGAAAAAAATCACAAGAACTTTAAAGTTCTACATTTTACACAAGTTTCAAATAATTGACTACCATAATATGTTATCTGGTTTTGATAAGTTTATCCAATTATGATTGCATGACTCCCACTTGGCAAACCTCGTGTCTTCTAATCCAAACTCCAAAACGTATCTTTGCGTTGAACAAACTCTTAATCGGCCCTTTCAATTCTATCCTATTATGCATACACTGTATTTTAATTTGTTGTGCAAACATGTGTACTCTTTTGATTTAAAGCTTTCGTGACTGCAGTAATTCATATTCTTAGCTCTTTCGGTAAAGTCACGTTGAAGGGAAACAATAAAATAATAAAATATTTTATTATTTTTTATTGTTTCCCTTCAACGTGACTTTACCGAAAGAGCTAAGAATATGTGTACTCTTCCTAAAGTCATTCAGCACCACAAAATACACTTAATGGTACATGTAATTACTGATGAAATTCCAAAGTTGTGTTTACGATTTTTGCATTTTTCCTTGCGTGACACTGATCCACTGTTGGTGTCGTCCTGATTAAATTTCCCTCACTGTGACTAATAAATATCTTTAGATGAAAAACATTATTCACAATAGCTTGACACAACAGTATTTTTTAAAATATATATAATGTTACCCTTGCAAATCATGTAATCCTTGCGAAATGTTTCATGGGTCTGCCCAATGAAAACATTTTGCATGCCAGGCAGCTGGATTTATACATTCAATTACATACAAACATACATTGATTGCCAACTCAACCTTGTAGACCAGCAGGGAATGTGTTGTTAGCATCTGTTATGGCAAGCATGGAATTCCATGAGGTGTGTGTGACCAGCACACACCTCCAACTGCCCTTTCCCCACCCATTATTAATATTGAGACACTGTAATATGTACTCTTAACTTGAACACTCTCAGATCATGTAGATTGTGACCAAGACTCAAACTCAGGTTGCCAGGATCGTAGGGTAGTGTGTTTTAACCAAAATGCCACTGCTTTCCGCACACAAAGACAAATATCCCCATGTGGCCTTTAACAGATTGTACGGGGGCAAGCGCTGTTAGCGAGCACCTGTAAAGCCCGGCACGGCACACGAGGGAGTGGGTGGGCAGCACCATGCCTGGCTGCCTTTGTCTTGTCCAAGTGCCAATCTTTTGACACATCACCGGTACTTATGTGAGGCTGAGTCGACCCAGGGAAGGCCCAGGACCGGTTCAGATAATTGTCACCGGTTTCGAAGTGCAACGCGCTGACCGCTGCACCACCGCTGCACCACCGCTCCCCACTTTCCACGCAGACACGATGCAGGATCACATCACTACCCTTGGGGGTGGGCGAACAAGGCAGCTACCCAGCATATAGAGCTGTAATGGTTGGGATTTTTTTTCTCTGTACTGTATGATTTGTACCATAAAAGTACTCGGTACTCATACTCGTGCTGCTGCTGCTGTTCACAGCGTACTCATACTTGTGGTGCTGCTCCTCTTCCCAGTGTGACAGCGGAGAGGGCGAGTGACAGGGCTGAGCAGCCGAGCTGCGGCTCGTTTGGGAAGTTGCTGAGAGAGGCCAGTGGGAGCGGCGACCTGCGCAGTTGCCCGGTATGGCACGCCACGGACACAAGCGCTCGCTTACAGACAGATGCTCCTTTCCCCCCCCCCACCACCACCACTGCCACCCCCAACAACAATCCTCCCCTTATTTTTGCAGCTGTTCAGCATAACATCTTGCCTCATATTAACCACGTGTTTTTCATATTTTATCAAGTATACATCGTCGTGATGTTTATTTAAAAAAAAAAGTTTAATTCAGTGTTTTATTTATCGGTCTTCATTTGATGTCGTCTCGTTTGGCTGTCATCTGTAAACACGCACAATTAGTTTTTTTAAAAATAAAATTCATATTTTCATTTTAAATAAGCCATATATGCACCGTAAAATATTCAATACATTCACTCCGTTTCAGCTGTTGATGCTCGAGGACCTTGTATGTGTCAGGCACAGCCTTAGGATTTATACAAACACGCGGGTGCAATTTGAATGATTCACGCAGACAACTGCGCAGAGCCGAACGAATCCCCCGCTCCACCCCGTATGCTTGAAGCCGCCACTACCCTGGGTGCTGTGCAGCTGCATCAGCCCCGACATGCTCTGAATGTCGTTCCACTTTTACCTTAATCACCATGCCCACTTTGTTTTTTCTTACAAAAAAATACCCCACGACACGATTATTTTCTTCCCATGCTGCCCGCCTAAGGCGACGTACTTTACTTCGGAGCGTGTGGCGATACCGTGTTTGTGCGTGGCGTGCAGATTGGCTCGTAGAGCTCCGGTTGGCACCAATTGCCGCGATGCGTCACGTTTTTTTTTTTAATATCAACTACCCTTGGGCGTGTTCTGCCTCTCCCTCTTCCTTTCTGCCGTAACTTTTTCCGTTTGTTCTGTGCGTGAAACTGCTGCCAACAGCTGTGGCGGGTGCCACATGCGATGAGCGCTGTGCCCAGTGTCTTCGCACGTGTCGTTATTTTCCCACGAGTGATTTTTTTTTTAATCAAATATGCTCAGGACGAGGATAAGGGTGGTATTGTTTTCTTTATGTTGTCGCTCTTTTAATGTGGAGGGTACGATACTGTTAAATCGGAGTGTTTGGAAAGGGCTTTGATGTGCTCGTGACGCTTGCTTGTTATTGCTTAATGTATCATATTACCGTGACATGAGCTCACATTTCAAGGAAGTTCGTGTCTGCCTCTATGAAAGATGTGCTACTTTTTCAAACGGTTTTACTCTGAAGAAATATATTTTCTTCTAATTAACGAATTTCCTTGAGTCATAACTTTGTTAAAACACCAAAATGGCAGCCATACAATTGTATCATGAACAATTATGTTTCTTGGTGACAGCATTTGCACAATACAGGTGGGGTGGAATGGTAGCACAGAGGTGTGCACACTACACTACCCATCCAGTGACCTGGGTGCAATTCCCGGTCATGCCTAACATCAGTGGCGAGCGATTTATGAACAGTTCCTGGGGTTCCACGTCACCAACGCTCACTGAGACTTCGTGGTAAATTTTGTTTAAACCATTCCACGACCGACACGGATTGGAGAGGCCTTCATCCAGCACTGGAGTAACAAGGGGGTGTAAATACATGTAAATATTATCCGAGGTGCAAACAGATGCAAGGCAGACCATTGTAAATTAATTTCCACCACTGAAGTTGGGCAGGGCAGGGTGAGTTAAGGGGGATGATCATTGCTCGAATTGTGCACACGTGGAGAAACAGTCAGGCATGCATTCTCATTCGGTCTTTGGCCTCCCCTCTTGCCGTGCATCGCGTGCTCGTTAATTTGACTCCGCGTTGTCACGTTTTGTCACCCGCCGCCGCTGCTGCTGCCCATGATGCGACTGAAGGCCGAGTGCGGGGAGATGCAGCGAATCCGCAAGGTCCTGATGAACCAGCCCCAGGTGGTGGCGGTGGGGCTGGTGTGGGACTCGGAGCAATCGCACCAAGCTGCCGACATCTTGCACATCATCGGCACATGCCTCTACCTCCCAGATGTATGGCGACTTGCACGCGCGGTCACGCGATTTATGGTCAATAATTCATGAATGATAAAAAAAAGTGTGTCGTTAACCCTCCCCCACCGGACACAGCCAATTAATAAATGTGTCACTTGAACAGACGTGACAATTTATTACTGGTGTGATGTCTTCAATGTTTGCTCACAAGGGAGCAGAAACTGGAAGGAGTGATACTTAAAGGTTGATGTATTAACATAATTTAAGGTTTTTTTAAAAATCAGAGTTAATTAGTTGTACAAGATGGTTCTAATACATTGTTAAATATGTTAATATGAGCTATACTTTACGCAGCAAAACTGGTCCGTCATATCCATTAGTTATCTAAATGGTTAGTTGATTACGTGTTAAGTTATGGTCTTTAGTTCACTCCTTGACAGACATTGACCAAGCATCCCAAAGCAGGACCCTACTATAATAAAAGTGTATTGACACTCCGTGAGACTTTCTCTGATTAATAAATAACTTGCATACCCTTTATCATTCATTGTAAAATTTGCTTTTTTTCCTCTTTGTTACCCATTGCTAAATTTTAAAGTAAAAAAAGTATTGTGAGGAGGTTACCTTGATCGACTGCATTATGCATGGGGTGATTGGTAATTGTGAAAAGCTGGACTGTGAGGTGGCCCCACGGATTGGTGTTGAGTAAGTGCGGAACTCCACAGAAACAACTGGCTGCTGGGAGCTTTTGCGATTGATTCGGTTACACATGTGACACGATCCTCAATACGTTTCGCCCAATCACACCTCATCCTCCAGCAATTGGCCACACCCTCTGGAAACCCGCAGTGCCTTTGAAGGTTATACAGTTTGGAACGCGATGCTAAATGAAGCTCCAGCACCATTTCTGATCAATATTTCCTTTTTTGCCATTCTGTTCATCAGCTGCCATGCCTATCCACAGACGCACGGATCCGTTCGCAGGTTAAACGCACATTGGTCAATGTACAGGCGCTTTTATTGTTTTTTTTATCAAGGTCCGCGAGAGTTCCGTAGTCACGGGGTCGCGTGTGCGACGAGCCGTTCGGACTGCAACGCTCGCACCCACACACAATGCGACTGCCTGCTCCCTTTCCTGCGTGATGGGTACAGCTGTACTACCGCGTGACGGATGAACGGGCCAAGGCGTCCGAGCTGTCCCTGGTGGGAATGGTGTGCTACTACGGCAAGCACTACTCGTCCTTCGTCTACCACACTCACAAGCGCCGCTGGTGTTACTTTGACGATGCGCAAGTTAAGGAGGTAAAGCGTTGTCGTTTTCAGTCGATTTGTTTTAAAAATAATCATGATGATGCCTTGGTTTTCAAACCCGTTGCAGTGTGTCGTTTCAAGGTGGTGTGTTTTCACCGTTCAGGGCGAGCACGCGGATTAGTCTGCACGTGTCCGATGCTGAACCCGCCAAAGCATTCGCTTGATTTTCACAGGCTGCTCGCCCGTAATGAACAAATACCCTTGCAAGCGAGCTAGTGGATGTCGTTCACTTGCTCACTTGTCAACACTCCCCTCCCACTCCTGGATGAAAAGCGGGTTAGGTTTTGCTCAATCCTGAGCAGCTGGCTCAAAAACTTGATTAATTAAACCTCCCAGAGCACACCCACACCCCGTCAAGAACGCACGTTCTTGTGTGAACCCGCTCGCTCGTTTTCAGGTAGGATCTCACTGGAAGGACGTGGTGAGCAAGTGCGTCCAGAGCCACTACCAGCCCTTGCTGCTGCTCTACTCGCACCCGGACGCCACTCCCCTCGGAGGCTCGGCGCACAAGGGCGATAGCTCGGGGCCCGGCCCTGTTGGAATCTACTCTGACAGCGAGGATTCTGGTAATTGCTTTGTGAGCACCCGGTCACTCACGCACCCACTCATGAATTAATGATTTTAGCGTAACGATCCCGGCGTACCAAATAATCTTTACGCCCAATTTACCCTGCAGGGTTTTTGGAGCTCTAACAGGTCATGAGCATGTTGACCTGAATTTCAAGGTCAAACATGCACAAATGTGATGAATATATTAAAAAAAAAATTCTAATGGCCAGTTATTACAACTACGCCTACAACCAGACAATTGCAATCATTATGCGCCTTTGTCCAAAAAAGTCTCCGGACTCTATCTGAAGAGAGTCTGGCTTTGGAATAAACGGCTACTTCATTAATACTTAATTTACAAATGGAAGGAAACCTGGTAAGTCGCGTGCATGTGATATGTACGTAAAGTAACCTCATTTAAATTTACAATAGAGGTACATCAGCTACATACTTGTGCTGTACTGTCACAAACAGATGACCACCCATCCATGGGCATCGCGTAAATTCCTAACGTGCCTTTTTGTGCTCGGCAGGACTGGTGCCTTCCATTCTCAGCGATTCCCGAACAGATTCATCCAACGACGGCCGGGGGCCCAAGTCGGAGGTGGGGCCTCCGCCACCCCCGCGACGCACGCACGTCCTCGGCTTCGACGTGATCCGCGTGCCCGCGATGAACGACGCGGGCCGGGGCGAGCCTCCACCTGTGGCCACCAATGGGTCTTCCTGGACCGGGAGGCCCAGGGCGGACGACGCGAGGGTGGATGCTCCGCACGAGGCGGGGCGGCTCGGGGTCGTGACCCCGCCCGCCGCGCGCGACCCCCCGGAGGCGTCCGAACAGCTGTCCTCTCCTTCCGCCGGAAGCGAGCTAGCGGACGGTCGGTTTCCACCTCGCCTGTCGTCCGGGAGGAGGCAGAAGGATGCCAAGGGCAAGCGGCGGCGGCAGGAGGACCTGAACGTGGACAGCGTGTTCAGCGACGGCGAGGCGTGGGGGGAGGGCGGCGAGCGCGAGGATGGCGGCACCGGTGGCGGGCAGCACTCTGGACGGAGCCCGCGCAAGCGCGATGCTGCGAAGACGCCGTCGTCTGGATCGGAGCGGCGCGACAGGGACGGCTCGGCCGATAGCGGGAGACGGAGCAAATCTGTGGAGAGGTATCGTGAAATCATTTGATTCTGCCAGACCTCTGCTGTCTGTGGGCTGATGGTTGTGGTGGCTCGTATTAATGCAGTATCGTTACTATTAATACATACAGTATATTTAATATTGTTAACATTTATAAAAATTATGAATGTAACAACATCACACACGTCAATGCTCTCAAGGATACCCCTTGAAACTTACTTTGAGTGTCTCACGGCCGTGCAATGGATTGCCGTGTTTTGTGTTTACCCGAAAATAATTCAATCAGGCCTATTTATTTCAATGCACCGGCAGCTGCTGATGGTTCCGGTCTTCTGTAAGGATCAGATCCGAAAGTGTTGTCTTTACTTACAGTAATGTTTCCCTCTTTTCTCCAAAAATACTTGTCCTTGCCTGCTGTGCCTGAGTGTTTTGGCTTTTTCTCTCAGTATCTTGGGGTTCGCTCTAAGTTTCTTGGATTTCTATCTCAATTTCTTGGGTTTTCCCCAATGTTTTTCAATAGAGGTCTCATTGTTTATTTTACCCTTGGGGGTGAACATGTACACAACATGACAAGACACTGGAGGAGTGGGAGGGCGCCACATGTTGTATAAAAATGAATGGAAGGTTGGAGAGATGTGTGTCAAACATGAAGAGGTGGCAGCAATGCATTTTGAGTCAATATGGGCAGTGAGGGGGTGGGGAGGGTCCAGACACAACAGGGACTTGATCCGTAAATGAATGTGCATTACATGAAGAAAGCATGGTGAGTCTGCTGAATTGGCAGAAGTATAAACAGATCAGTGGAGATTATAATGGATGCAGATCGCTGACTCTTATAGGTAGAAAGCTATATTTGCTTTTTTTCCCACTTGTCCTTCCGCTGCACCTCCGGATCGCACGGTTGGCTAATTACGAAAGCATTTCAACATACATATATGTTTACTTTTCTTACTCGTGTTAGCACAATAATTTGGTGACATTTAATACTCTGAACAAATGTAATAGAACGATTTGAAGCCTCCATCAACAACAGTGCAAAACGTGCTTCATCATCATGAGTCTCCATGCCCAGACACTACCTGGGTTGGTTGTTAGACATCTCTCCATACTTTGCTATCTTTCCATTCGGTATCTAAATCACTGTACAGTCCCTTTATCAATTTTCCAAAGTCTCCACAGTAACTTTCTACCCACTCTTCATCCTACCTCTTTGTCTTCTTTCCTTTATCCCATACTTAAAGGAACTAGCTTGGTAATCAGTCTTTTGTCATTTGACCGTACCACTTAAATATTGTTAAGTTGTTTCAATCCGCTCTCCTGTTACATCCCGTGGTTGCCCAGCTGTCATTTAAAAGCATGATGCTGGTGTCCACAAAGCGTGCAAGCTTAATGCGATATGCAAAGAAAAACGCAAATTTTAGCTTCACAAGGTGCATTGTTTATGCTCTTCCGTTGCAGGTCCCTGGATTCGGCAAGGAGCCGGGAATCCAGCCCCCTGGCTAACGGAGTTGTCAAGTCTGGTCATCGCTCTCGCCGACTGTACAAGCCACACGCCCTGCTGGGTGAGCTTCCTCCCCGTGTACTTTTTCCCTCTGGGAATCCAAAGCACAAATGCCTTGCATTGTGTTGTCAAATTCTGTGACTTCAGAGTTTCACGCCCCATTGTATTTTCACAGTTTGGTGACTCGGTGTAATGTAACAGTGTTTAATTGAACGTCCAGGATGGATTAGCGTTGTGGTTATAAACGCGAACAATGGCTGTGAGATTGATAGAGATCTTAAGACTGGTGCTGTGTCAATGTGACATGGTGGCTGAGGTGGGGGTGTCGTCAATCTCCAGTTTCTGGCGGAATAATTTGTTTGTTCTGCCTTTGTTAATATGAGCCAGGGTTGCATATACAGGCCCGTTCACTCTGCTGATAGTGCACACTGGATTGCTAGAGAGCGCTGGCAAAAGGACATTTACATACTTTAAAATTACATGTTGGTTGCAGTGGTTAGTGCACTGTGCTATGAACTCCATGACTTGACTTTGTTTAACAGCCACAGATAGCTAACATCAGTGGTCAGCGGTATCTGAACTGGTCTGGCCCCCGCCGCTAGCCTTCTGTAATCTGCCCTGGTCAGTGTGGGGAAGTATGCTCAAACAAGCCCAATCCTCCGACGCTGCATGAGGAGGGCTTCCTTGGATTAACAAACGGCTCTAAATTATTATTTTTATTGTTACTTTTAGCGCTTGATCATTAGTTGCGCTAGAATAATGGCCCCTGATTACTTGATAAATGTGAATGTAAGTAATATCCGACAGCTTCCCTGACTGTTTTAATGTGGTATTTTGCACTGTACATTTACTGTTGTATATTTGGTTAAAAGTCATTTTCATTAAATTGGTTATTTTATCAACACGACTTCATGAGTACATATATTGGGCTGAATTGCTTTGGTAATTGTATTTGGGTCATCAGTGACAAACTATTAAACTTTTTTTTATTTTACTGGGTAAGGCCCACTGTGCTATATAGCTATTTTTCAGAAGCGGCCTGCCCATAAATGATAGCTTAAAAAGTGGCTTATCATGTGGAAATTTATAGCATCCAAATACTGTAAAAGTATGTTTCTAAATGTTGATGGAAAAACCGGTGGACCCGGAAAAAAATCCATGCGGCCGCAGGGAGAACATACAAACTCCACATAAACAGGCGTCGTGGTTGGGATCAAACCCACGGCCTCCATACCAGGGGAGGAAGTTAACATCTCGCCAACAAAGAAGCTAACTGGAAAACATCACACAATCTGTGCGGCAGTTTTATCCAAATTATTATTGTGAAGCCAGTTGGAAATAAATGGATCAGACAGGCAAGGGGGAAGTCCTGCTGTGCTTGCTGGCTTGCATTAACTGGTCTACAGTAAGACCGTGGGTTCATCCTGAGCCTGGCCAGCAGTGTATCTCTCAAGTGGCAAGTAAAAATACGGGGAGGTTTTTTTTATTCGGCAAATGTAACTTGTGGATACCAACACGAAGCCTTCCTCTCATCTGTCCAGGAACAACAGTTTTAGAGCACATTTTAGTCGCAATTTGTGTGTGATAGAGTATTTATTTCATAAAACAGAGTTAAACAAAGGAAAGGAAATGGTTATTTATATGAAAAGACTTTTTGTTCTTTTTAAGTTAAAGTAACTGTTAAAATAATATTTAAAGACTATTACCGTTTCCTCTTCCACCCTGGTCTACAAAGATGTGTGCAAATTAAGAGCATACTGTAAGAATGTTAAGAAGTGTTTAGCCTTTCAGCATAAGCATATTATTGACCGTTTTAGGTAATTTCATTCAATAAACGCCTGTCAACCTGCTCGGAGCTAATTCATGACAATGTATACATGCTTGCATGAAAGAAATAAACACGTACAGTGCCCAGTCTAAACACTAAAGTCCGTCCATTCCTAAGTAGGTGGGCAAGGGGGTGACTCTTTGGGGCTTATAATGCCGTGTCCACAAAAAAACGCAACTCGAACAAACTGTTATGGTCCTGGAGCCTGAGTTCAGAATGACTTGCATAGTCCTAGAAACGACACAAGTCTGGTTAAAGATAACACTTCTCATAACCGATGATGAAACATTGTGGTTTGATTGGCTTGTGAGAAAAGAATTGTCAATAATCTTTCGTAAATCATTTAACCAAGACCCAGCTGAGGGTGACTTCTTTAGAAGGGCATGAAGTGAATCTCTCGCTTGTCTGAATAGCTCAAGAGAGAATGCAGTCTACCAAGTCTGTGAGTCACTTAAAAGCTATCGAGTGAAAATGGTCACATTTTTATTTGTTGAATTATTTTTGTCTTTGAATCTTGAGTGAAAATGCTTTTGTGTGATAATGCATCATTTCTGCAATTGAGAGACAATTACTATTTTTTTAAATGGTAAAACAAAAAGTTAGGTTGCATTATGTTTTGGTGGCTGCAGGGCTAATACAATATTGGAGCACTGAGCTGGCACAGATAAGATCCTGAGGTGAAATTCTGATAGCCATCTGTGGATATGAAAAATCCCATCATAGATTGTGAGCATAATTTGGGTTATACCAAAGCTTTCATAATGCAGATTTGTTTCTATGTAGATAATTATGGAAACACCTCTAGCAAATTTGACACATTCTGCTCCGAGTGTGCAAAACAAACTATTGAAACCGCTTCAGCAATAGTTCTCTGATGTTATCTTACGGGCCATATTCCTTAACGCTGTGTTATTGTTGTTACACTGCTCACTGCAATTGTTTCCGAAGGGAAGAGTTCTTTTCGAACATGACCACCACAAGCACGATTGGAATATGACTATTAAAATAAAACGCAAAACTCCTGAGGCTAAATAAGACCACGGTGTGCTTGTGTGCGCGCAGGACTCGAGTCGGACAGCTGGGAGCAGGAGTCGGAGCGCAGCGAGCTGGACGAGTTGGAGCACCAGGCCACGCTGCGGGCGCGCGAGCACGAGCAGAAGCGCGCACGCGGAGCGATGGGCTCCGGGGAGAAGTTCAATCCCAACCCGTCCAAGATCCTCGACCTGGACAACCTCATGCCCAGGGGTGCGTGTGTGCCCGGTGTGGCTACATCGGCGCCAGGGTTGCTGTGATACGGCAATATATTGTGCAGTGTTGTAATATGGTCTGCGGTAACGGTGTAATCCGGTTTGCTAAGTGTATTATTATTATTATTACCTTTGCTTACCCAGGAAAGCCACACTGAGTCTCGTGATTATTTTTCAAGAGGATTCTGCCAAGATTTAGTAGGAGGGAAGCGATGATTGCTATGTATTTTCCAGGAGTGGTTTGTGGATTTTTTGTTTGATGTTTGGATCATGATGCAGGAACACAATGCCCTAATTTTGCGAATGACGTAACGGGATCTTTATTTTTCCACTCTGAAACAGACGGCGTGCAATTTATATGATTAATACTCTCACAGTATTAAACAAGCGGCTAATATGCTACCATTAGACGCTCTCACCGCTATCACTATGATACGCTTATTATTGCTCATTTTATGTTTGTATTATTAATTGATTTTCCTGATAAAAAAATATTAATGAAATAACAGACAGTTATGGTTTAAATAAATAGCAAATACCAATTAAGTTAGTGCTTTGCAAAACATTTTGCCGGGAAAATTACATCAATGTCATTTTTGTAAATGTATTTGTTTCTCAAGTAACTACACGCATGTGTGTGCTACGGGCATTCATTATTGAAAAGTTGCAATGATGAAACTTTTACCCATAGGGGAGGGGTCCAGAGTGGGGTTGGCCACGCAGAAGTCACGTGATTTACTGGAGGCTTGAGCTGATTCAGATTTATATTGGAAGGCTTATGGCTGGCTCATTTTGAGTGAAGAGCAGTACTGGAAGTACAGCACTAAGCACACATAATATAGTAAACATACATGAAGCTAATTGAAATTGTTGGGAAACTAATAATGTAATAATCAACTTTCTATTGCAAATCGTAGTTAGGAATTACTGTGTAAACATGCATGCAATAGACGTAAAACATACATGTAATACATTATTTAAATGCACAACAGGCACGTAATTATACATGCCTATCACTATACAAAATACTAGCTTCACCAAGAACTGACCTCTATTATGGGGAGGCACAATGTAAGGTTTACAATTTAATATTAATGTAAACATAGTGGGAGTAATGGGAGTGCATTCCACAGCGATAGTCAACCCGGCAAATGATTCCACCCCCATCTTCACGGTACAAACCACCGGCAAGAGGGAGTGACGAATAGGAACGGTCGTAAAAATACAAACACTTTCCCTTTAAATTTTGATTTAAAGCTTTCATAACTGCAGGGATTCATATTCTTGGTTCTCTCAGTAAAGTCACGTAGAAGGGAAACAAAATCATAAAAATATAAAACAATAAAATTCTCACGACGTTTCGACAGCAACACAAGCAATCATCATCAGGTGTGAAAACCACAACTTTGTTTGCTCCATTAGCGTGGCGTAAGCACACACTTGGCATACACGGTGGGTAATGTGTACATACATGCACGATTTGCTGTATGTATAGTTGGGTTCATATTCTTGGTTCTTTCGGTAAAGTCACGTAGAAGGAAAATAATAAAAATAAAACAATACAATTCTCACGACATTTCGGCCACAACGCAAGCAGCTGTCCTCAGGTGAAAAACAGAGCTGACTTTACTGAAAGAACCAAGAATATGAATCCCTGCAGTCACGCAAGCTTTAAATCGATATGTATAGTTGGGTTGAGAATCGATTTTAAGTGAAAGATTTGCATCGATATGTCCAGTTCGAATACAAATGTATGAAAATATTGTGTTCTGCCTACTATTTCTGACCAGTTTTAGGAACAAAATTAAAAAAAAGTGTACATGCTCGTATATATTTAGTTAACAGATGGGGCTTCAAAAAATAAGCCTAGCTTTACAGTGCTGTCATCTTGTAAGCTTTATTTTCTTATATGGACCCTACTTGTATATTTATCCTCCTCTTAATTGCAATGTATCCCAGTTCTCTCGGCATTTAAAATAGAAGTATTTATCCTACCACTCGTTCTGTCATCAAGTGGGCTATTACAGAGGGCTGCTCGATATCCAACACTGCCTTGCTTTTCCTCCCGACATTTTTGGCAGATCGCCCTGGTATGCGTGTAGACCATGACGATATGCACAGCTGTAAAATACTCGCAGCTGAACATTTAGTCACAGTTGCGTGTCTCGCTTGGAGAGGGGCAGCGAACCGGTTGGTTCTACTTTTCGCGATAAAATAACCAACACCAAATTTCGGCACCGCACACTTGCTGTGTACGTCGACTTCACAAGCAGAGAGAGCCGGGCGGATCGAAAGGCTGCCTCGCTGCTAACTCACGGAGGAATTCGATCCGAGCCGCTTGCGTTCGAATCCCACAATGTACAAGCGTGTTGGACTCGACAAAGAAAATGTGTTCTTTGGAGGAGACGAGCGGTCGGTGCGATCCAGTGCTTCGTAACTACGGGGACAATATTTGGACCATTTCCTACGTATCGATAGTTCGATGTTAATGTGCAATTCTATTGAGGGACTACTCTACTGTGTGGCGTTATCTTGGTGTGGGTCTGGGACTGTTTTACTGCTGTTATTTGCTGCCTTGCCCATTCTTGACAAATCGGACTTATGTAAAGAATGCATGCATTATTTACTTTTAGTGCCTTGCTTACCATTTTCTCTATTTTGCACTGCTATTGTTTTGTATTATTTGCTGTTGTAACTCGCTGACCCCGCCCCACACTGGACATCTGTGAAAAAGAGCTTCAAAGCTCATCGGATTCCTCTTGCAGTCTAAATAAAGATTATCATCTTCTGATCCGATGTGACGCCTCCTTCCCCCCCCCCCCCGCTCCTCGCTCCTCGCTGCCGGGTCGCCTACAGACGCGCGAGACCGAACGACCGCTGCTCTGCTGGCGGAGTCGAAGGCCCTGCAGGAGCAGTCGGAGCTCCTGGAGCGCGAGGGAGACCACGCCGCCGCGCTCTGCCACTGCAACGAGGCGATCGGTGAGACAGCAGCCTTCGCTTCTTTAGCGGTTTTATACGTTAGTTATAGTCCGAGTCGATGATTCGGCGTTTGGCTCATAATTGTTTGATTGCATACCCCCTCCCACACCCCCCCTTTCCAATGTTATCAGTTCAGTTAAACAGTTTAACTCTTACATATCTAGTCAATCACCATTTGCTGCGGGACATTGTAGTGTCTAATAATGTAACTAAACCATCTTAGATTTCACATATCAGTTTTACCGTCATTCGATGAACGCGACTGTCTGTGGCAGAGCAAGTGGGAACGTTCTGCCCTGCGTGTGAAACAGAGGTCACTTTGAAGGGAAACTCACGAGGAGGCTCTGCGGTATCCACTTCTGTGGGCTATCCTCTAACACGAAGGGTCGCACTGCTCTGCGAGTCCTCCGAATGGATTTTTCTTTCATGACATGACACCGAATAAGCCCGATTGGGATATGCTTTAGAAAATGTATATATTTTTTTAACTCCCTTGTTATGAAAGCCCTTCAGCCGGTGTGTGCATGTGTGGGGAGGCGGCATTTTCACAGCCTTCGCATTTGTGTGTGTGTGTGTGTGCTCATGTTCGCACAACACGTGAATCCGCGCAGCCAAGCTGAAGCAGGTGACCGCCAAGGGCGAGGAGAGAACGCGGGCGCTGGCGCAGCTGAGGCAGCGTGAGTGCGCGGAGCGCGCGCGCCACCTGCACGCCGCCCTCTCATCGCCAAGGGAGCCAGTGCCAACACCAATGCCAGCGCCATCGTCAGCGCCATCGTCAGCGCCGTCGTCGTCAAGAAAACAGGAAACCTGGGCACCCCCTGCCATCACCATCACCACGGCCACCCCGCTACCTACGCCCACGCAGCAGCAGCAGCCGGCGCCGCCTCCTCCAAAACCCGAGCGGCTGTCGCCCGTCCCTACCCCCGAGCAACCTCGCCAGCAGCCGCAGCGTGTGGATCAAAGCGTGCCCGTACGTGTACCGTGTTCTTTGTGGTGTTCCGTACACGCAAGTGGGCAATGGTTTTGTTATCCGCTTTTGGGCATTGAGTCGCTTTGTCCTGTTTCGCGATGCTGTTTCTATTACATGCGAGTCGGGATCCTTAATTGGTTTGAACAAGATGAGATTTGCTTTGGTTGTATGCGTTGTCTTGTCATTGCCCAAGTGATGCTGTGTCATGTGCGTTGTAACGCTTAATGGAATAAATCAACTCGTATGTTCCCCGTGCAGAGTGAGGAGCCTTCGGTGAGCGATGAACAAAGCGTCTTCGCCAAAGCCCAGAATCTTCCACCAGGAGCCGAGCGTTTATCTCCAAGGGCCCATTACTCAGCCGGTGATGGTTGGCAAGCTCTAGAGCCACCTCGTCTTGACGATCGGAATTGGCAGCCCAAGGAAATTGCTGAAAATGCTCGTGAGCCTTCCCCCAAGCAGCCCTCTGAAAACCCCATGAGCTTCTTGGAGCAAGGAAAGACAGCCTTTTCCATCCAGTCACACTGTGCACCTGCAGCCGAAACGTCGTGGAGTAAACCCGGCCTCCAGGCACAAGGGGAAGAGCCTTCGGGTTCAATACACGATAGCCAAAGCCTCCCAGCAAAAGCATTGCCTGATAGAATCCCTCCAAAGCCTCCACCCAAGCCTACGAAGACCAACAGCGTCATGTCATTTCTGTCGAACATTGCTGCTGACTTGCCAAGAAAGTCCGATTCAGAAAAGACCGCTGCATCGACAGTGGAAAGCTCGCACAATCGGCTGCAGAAACCCCCGCCTCAGGAGCATGTCCATCCGCCGCTTGCCCCAAAACCATCTGCGGAGAAAACGCCGCCGTCGTTGCTGCAGAAGGAGGGTGGGATGGAGCAGCCCCCGGAGAGCGCGCCGCCCCAGAAGTCCAAGAAAATGAGCAAGTGGGAGGCGCTGTTCGGCAAGCTCGGCAACGAGAAGGAGCAGGAGATGAGGAAGCAGCGTGAGATGGAGCTGGACTTGGTGCGGGCCCGCACCGCCGAGGTGCCCGACTCGCAGAGGGCCCCGAGCGCAGCGACGGCACAACCCGGCAGAGACGGGCCCAGCGGCAGCGGCGGCGGCAATGACGGAAGCAGCGGCGGCAGCGGCGGTGCCGTGAATGCCCCCAGCGGACCTGTCGCCCAACCGAGAGAACCGGAGAGAAACGAGTCGGAGGACGAGCATAGCCCCGGGGAGCTCGGAGCCACGGGCGAATGGCGGGCTGAGCGGGGATCGGCGCGGCAGTGGACCGTGCCGGAACACTTTGTTTGGGAGGAGTACGATTCCGGCATGGACACGGGGAGGGCAGCAACGTCCCCACAAAGCGAGGCATATGGTGCAAGTCCCAGAGAAGGAGGCTTTAATTGGCCACCTGCTGTGCAGAGGACGGCCAATAGGGATGTGCCAGAGGATGGTGGCAACCAAACAGGTACTTAGAATGTTCTGTGTCGTCTCTGTTTAGAACTTTAGATTTTTCACTCCTACAGTTCCAGTTTGGTAAACCCAAGTTTACAATGAAAAAGAGAATTATGGTCTCAATGTCTCTCTTGCAAAAGAGGCCTTTTTGTTTCATATATCTCAATGGGGTTATAGTAACTCCTGGATAAATAAAGTATACCAATTGACTAATGGGGTATCACCTTGGTCATGAATAAAATTTGAAAATTACTATTAAATACCATTCTGCCTTTATGACAGTAATGTAGTTATGTACATACGTTAGAGTGTTTGAGCTTGAACACTTGTGTTGGCATTAGTATAAAAGCGAAAGCCGTTTTGCCTTATGACTCGTGCATGATTGAAAAATATAAAACCAAATTACGTAGTAGAAAAAAAAGTGTTCACCTATTAGGCATTGTTAACATACATTTATTTACTTTTTGTTCCGAGGCCTATTTCATTGAGCATTCAGTTTGGAAGGGTGGACTAATGTGCACGCATGCATGCATTCACGATTCCTCGACATTTTATTTACCACGGTTGGAGTTGCCTTGACCTCGAAATCCTGTGGTTACCGTGAATTTAACGCTGTTTATCACCGCGGTGGTTTCGTTCAATGGTGGTTACAAACCACATCCACCTTTGTGATTAAAATGGAGCCCCCCCCCCCCCCCCCCCCCACCCGACCGCTCTTGTCGCCATAGTGGGCATGTCGGCGATGGCCACGGCCCGGCAGAGGCACCCCCCGGGATTCTCGGACCGCAGCCCGTCATCGGCTCGTGGGCAATCGCATGCCCCGAGCGCCGAGCCGGAGAGGAGGAGACCGCCACCCGCCACGGAGCCGCGCACGATGCTGCCTCCGCGGGGGGTGGTGAGTGCCTCCCCAGGACGACGGGACGGGTCCCGGTTGTTGGTTGTGTTGAGAGCGCCAATTTTCCCGTTTTCTTAAGTACTCAACTGACTTATTCGTTTGCCTGTGCGAGTAAACGGGCTGGCATGTCAGTGGTTGGGCAAAAAATGTAATGGGAGATGAATTATCATGCTGAATTCTGTGGATTAGACATTCGCCATTAGAAACCTCATTCATGTTTACCAACCGATATTCACGTGTTTATGTATTTAGCATGTATTACTTATTGCATTTCCTTGTACAGGCTGTAAACTGCATGTAATTTATTTAACATTTGAATCGCCTTTTGACTGCGTATGCGTGAACTTTAAGCTTCGAGAAAGTTTCGGAAGGGTTGTTGTTTTGGCTTGTGTTGTGAACTTCCAATCCTGTTTTCAGCTTCATGATAACCATTCACAAATCTCGCACAGCAGTGTGTTCCATGTGTCGGAGGATGGTTAGCAGAAGAGTTGTATTTCAGGACATCAAATAACTTTTTACCCATAGCACAGTAGAATGGGCACTATCCCATTCATTAGATTGTCATGTGACAGTAAAACAAAAACATTTTTCTAAGAGTTTTTTTTTTACAAAGTTCAAAGCTAAATTCAATATCATGGGTTTTTTGTGTACATATATTGGTAACCGGGCAAAGGTCACCAACACCTGGAAAGCCAGTATAATCACGAGCTACAACTGCATGCATTCAAACCTAGTATCTCAGCATTATTGCTTCAGTTTTTTGACCTCTGAGCCACTTGGCTACCTCTCAAAAAGTTATTCATGTTTAGGTTCATGGGGATTAAACAAATATTCATGGAGTGATATCAAAAATAATGTCATATATCTTACTTCACATGCCTGAATTGTGAGCGAGTGCATTTTAAAGTGCAGTCCTTTTAAAGCACTTGCTGTGCAGTTTTCCACATCGACCGATCTCCTATCTTCACAAATGGACCGCTTATCAGTTGTCGGTTGTGAGTTGGGGTAAATATATCACCCGGGCGCCTGCGTCAGGGAAAGCTGGAGGCATCGGTGGGGCGGCGGGGCGGTGGCCTATTTCAATCATGTTGCTTTGGGGGGGTGGCGCTGGTTGGCACTGACCTACGGGTGACTTTGTTTGGCACACGTGCAGCTGCAGAAGCCGCCGCCCGGGCACTACGCGGTCGACGGCAGCGGTGGCCGGCTGCGGGAGCAGCAGGACGATTCCTACGCCGCCGAGAATCTCCGCAAACTCTCGCTGCACTTCCACGGCAGGCCACCAGCCGACGGGCAGCCCACACCTCGCCACGTCGCCAGCCCGGTGTGTGGAGTGGGGGGGGTCTCGGCTTATTTATCGTGACGCCGCAGCCGCAGCCGGGTGGCCTAGCGGCGGGTAGTTGGCATAGTCGCCATTGAGTCTATTTGCGCAGGTATTATCTTTGGGGGAATTAACCAAATGGGGCTCCCAGATATGAAGTGTTAACGTTAGTTCAGGGACATGTGATTAATCCTGTGTACAATTTGTGCCTCTGGATCTTGATGATTAATTGAATCACCGACGGGCAACAGGCCGTAAATCATATCTATTAGTTATACTGCCTTTGAGTTATCTAGTTTAAATAACGAAGGTGGAGAGTTTTTCATATTTGCCTGTACACCAGTGACAAACCATTGCATTTAATTTGAATTGAAATACCAAATAATATTTTTAGCTCAAGTAGGCAATTCATTGTCCTTGTGTTTCCCAATTTTGTATTACCCAAACAGGCAAAAAATATATATTTATGATCCTAAGTTTTTTCCTGGCTAGTGATTTGAAATGTGGCAGTGATTGATTGCACGAACAATCGGGCGGTGGAAATGTACGTGAATAAAATGTCACCCATCGCTTTAATGGCATGGGCTTTTGTTGGTCTTTGTTTTTATTGGTGGGGATGATCAAACTCCAATCTTTTGCAAAGCGTTTGCTCAAATCAATCTCCCCAGAGAGTAATAAAGAACTTCGAGGCACCATTCATTAAAATACATTTTTAAAGAAAAAAGTGATTTCTAAATGTACTGCTTGTGAGTCTATTATTTATGTGAAACCTATTTTCATGCATTCATCTTGTTAATTTATGCCGTTATAATTCTTGGTGTTTCATTTGACATGGGTTGTGCTTCAAAAATTAGGTTAATTCGAATCGAGTATTTTTGCGTGTGGTTGGGAAAGTGGAGTTGTCAGAGAAAACCCATAAAGAGATCACTTAAAACCCTCAATTAGATCCGTAACTCCACTTCCACATGCTGCCAGGCCACCTCATTGCCAATACTCAATCCACAAATCCTGTCTGCAAATCTTTGCACCTAATGGTTAACTGCGGTATCTTATCACTGCACGCCGTTGCATCATCTCTTTAAACCCAATGGGTTGCTGCCGCTGTTGCCGACCTTTGCCCCCGTCCCTTGGCGCAGGTCAAGCCGCAGGGCCCCGGGGGCACGCGTGACCTTGCCGGTGGCGTGGCGAGCAGACCCGCGGGGCCAAGCACGGCTCACCGGATGGGGCCGGCAGATGACGGCGCTCCCGCTGGGCAGCGCTTGCACGTCCTGCCGGCGCAGTGGGAGGCACCTCGCGATAGAGTCCCAGGTAGGTGGAATCCGCCGGTCACGTCGACTCTTAATCATCCCAACGTGCCCTTGTCGTTGCGGAGGTGTTAACGGCACATTTGATTTAGGCGGTATAGACGTGCATGCAGTTTGCACGTATCTCTGTTCTAATCGAATGTTATTAAACTTTCGTGTGTGTCAAAGTCTTCTTAACTGTTACATCATTGCATGCCTCTTTCTTGATAAACTTTTTTGTTATTAGAGCTAGTGCACTGTACTTGTAAGCCCCCCTTTGCATGCGAGTTTTTTTGTCATTTACGTGCTCTCGTGCCTTGTTAGTAAACCAATTGCGATGTTTTGTTATTGAAAACACTTCACACTGAAGGGCAAGCGCAGAGGAGCATGGTAAACCGATAGTTTTCAACCACTGGAGCTGCTGGCTAGCTACCGGCTCTGCAAAATCGTCAGGTGTGGTAAAGTCCGTACATTGAACCTCTAACAGATTGTGCTTTACGATGCATGTGCATTGCTTGTGGTGGTGGTGGCGGTGATTGAGGTGATGATTCTAATGATGGTGGACGATAATAATGAGAGCCGTTTATGGCATCAGTAATGGTGGTTACAGTACGTTACTGACGGTGATGGAAATAATTAATTTTGGATCCAGAATATTTTCTCAGGATGCAGAACTACTAACCTATGGGATTGTTCATGTTCTCATTCGCAATCAGTTGCTGCTGTGCATCTAATCCTCAAGGAAATATGAATCTCAAATGTTTTACGAGGATCCAGCAATGATCTGGAGGATCATTCGTTTGCTTATTCTCAATGCGTCCATGAATGCCAAAACCTGAAACAGTAGTGGGCCTGGTTCACATTTTCGCAAATCTTCCCTCTGTAGGTTTTATGGCCTTAAATGTCTCTCCATCGCAATGGCTCACCAAAGCATTTTTTTTTCCATTTTGTCAAGATGTGAATCTGGCCCAAAGTGTTTTTCTAAAATTGTGAAAAAAATTCATTCCTCGTGTGTTCATCGATCTTAATATACATACATATATTGAAAATATAGAAATAAAAAGGTACTGGTTTATAATGGGGTACCGGCTGTACTACGTCCTCGTACCCAACTGATGCATTTGGGTTTTTAACGAGCACACGTACATTCATCTGACTCTGCGCAGACAGTAACGAGGATCGTAGAGCGCCACATGGGGGTCGCCACGCCTTGCCTGAAGACACGCTTCCCGCCGGGCCGCTGAGCCACGACACGTGGATGCCGGACGTCGACGCCGACCGCTCCCCTGCCAAGCGCTCCCTCTCCACCCCAGTGCTATCGCCCACCGCGGATGACGTGGGAGCGTACGGTGTGACGTACACGCAGGAGGGCGGCGCGTCTCACGCGTACGATTACGCGCCTCGGGCTTCGCCGGGCGGCGGCAGCGGGGGCAGTCGTGTTCCTCCATCGTTGGCTGGCTACGGCGACGTGCGTGCCGCCCCCCCGGGGACGGGGGGGCGGGCACCGCGCTCGGCCGTCCCGTTTGTCCCGCACAGCGAGTCTCTGCCAGGGAAAATGAGCGCGGACCACGCAGACAACTACGCCGACTACCGGCAGCGGCCGCCGAGCGAGCGGACGGGCCCGGGGGAGGCAAGCACGCAGCCCGGACCGACGTACAATGTCGGGCGCGTGTCGCAGGTGCGCCCCGTCGACGCCGCCGAGATGCGCGCCCGTGTCCTCGACCACTACTACGCCACGCGCACACTGGGGCGCGGCTCTCGCCAGGTGCCTCCGTCACCCACGCAGGCGCATGGGCGCATCTACGAGTACGATGACTCCCCTCCGCAGGCTTCCCCCACGTCGCCGTGCAGCCTCAGCGGAGTCTCGCCCAGGGCCTGGCGCGGGGAGTTTGCCTACCCCAGCAGGGACGTCGTGCACGTCGGTGGCCAGGCCCAGCAGAAAGTGCCGGGGCAAGCAATGTTGGGCCGCGGGGGATTCCCCGATGGTTCTGAGTGGTCAATGGCGGTTGTGCGTTCGCGGCAAGACGTCCCTCCAAGCTCCGCCCGTTTAGAGTTGCCGCACCACGGTTATAACAACACCAGCAGCACCCTCCCACGCAGCATTCCACAGACTCCTTCCAGGCAGGACATGCGACTGGAGGCCAGGTCTCTGCCGCGTGAGGTAGCCTCGTCCGTAAGCCTCTCCTCGCTTCTTATAAACAACCACCACCAGCGCCAGCAGTACAAGCATCAGCAGCCTCAGCCCTCGATGCGGAGCCCCTCGCTTGGTGCGCATGCCCTCGCTGTGCTGGAGAGGAGAAGCCGCCAGCAGCAGCTCGTGGCCCGGCGTGAAGTGCCCCCGAGTGGCAACCCGCTCATCCTGTCACACGCTGACGGTTTGGCGCGCGGCCCTGGGCGAATGGACGTGCCCCCCGACCGCGAGTCGCTCCTGATGTCGCCGCTCGCTGATTTCCCCAGGAGCTGGCGGTTGCCGGCACGCGTGGATGTGCCGCCGGACGAGGACTCTCTCCGTGCGCTCGCGGCGACGTCATCGCCCCCCGTACAGCCGCGCTACGCCGAGCTGGGCCACAGGCACCCGGCGTTTTCGTACGATGAGGAGTGGGCGCGAGTGTCGGCCACGCTGCCATCGCGCGGACGGCGAAACGCGTCGGATAGCGGCGCTTACGCCGACACGGTTTCCTACGCCGACCCTTACGCGTACGCTGGCCCGGCCAGTGCCGGTGCTGCCGAATTTCGGCAAGGTGTCATGCCGGGATCGCTGTCCTCGGCCAGCCTGATTGAGTCCGCCAAGCTTGCCTACCCACGTCGCTGAAAGGCACAGCGCAACAGCCTTTTTTTGGGTTGTGCTTAATACACAATTCCATGTTTTTGTTTTATTGCTTTGGCTTTGTTACATTTTCGAGCCCAAGTCGCTTCCTGTAATAGGATTCAACTTGGTTTGGCAGTGCACGTGCATTTCATTATCTAAATTGGCCAACTTCCTCCACAAAATAACTGCTCCCATTGTCAAAGATAATGTAACTTATTGCAAGTTTCTGTTCGTGAAGATGCCACTTCATGTGCTGTGCACATTTCCGTGGCTTCCTGATGTTGTCCGCTACGTTGCAAAGTTCCATTGAAATGTCAGTAGTGGAAAGATATTATTTTCCAGTTTTTGAGGCTGCCTTACTCTGTTGAATCCTCAATTGGATTTATTACTTGGATTTTCTTTGTAAACTAATGTTGTTTTCGAATGCTGCGCTCCATTGAATAGAATGCCGTAGTTTTCCTACCACAACATTTACAGACACTATGAATACCATGTTGCCCTCATTACTGTTGCTAAATGCAAATTCCACTACGTGTCACGTTGGAGTGGTCGGCTGTTTAAAGGAGAGGTGTGGTCACTTTGTTTTGTACGGTTTTACGTTTTTTTACACTTACTTTATGATGGGTGTTAGCATATAATACTGTATTTTCTATTTACATCTCCAAACACTATTTTTACATTGGCGTATATGAAATGTATTGCATACACGTAAAGCTTAATATGCCGATTATTAGTGAGCTTCATTTTCAGCAACGTATCGGAGTGTTTATGAAAACGTCTATCTCGTATTTGACTTAGTTGCACGACATTTTTTATGCGCTTTGGTGTCTTGTCAAGGCAGAACTGTTTCAGTATTTCAGCGGCAACAAGCAAAACTTTATGCACGCATACGAGCCAAAGGAAATCGCGTCGTTGATTTAATGGATGCAAGCCTTTATGCAGACTCAAGCGGGATGCAAGTGATGCCGAGGTTCAAACTGTTATCCTGTCATCGCACACACAAGAGCCCTGAAAGTTGCTGTGTATATTTTTTGTCAAGTGTCACCTTGCGGGGGGGGGGGGGGGCATGTGGCTGTAATTGTTTTTTTGTTGTCATGCAACCGAGTGGCACACCTGAAACCCAAGTGGAATTGAAATCGTGGATCCAGCCCCATCGGGCAGTTCGAGTACCCACCTCTCAGGTCCACACAATGCCGATGGGCCTTTTAAGTTAGCTCATCCATGCGAGGAGTAATCGGTTCAAGGATCACGTAGCCCAAATATTAAACGGCCCTCATTTCACTCATATCCACTGAGGGCCTGTATGGTTCCGGCTTGTCGGACTCGCGTGTGCTGCGATGTCACGAATGGCACAGTTCTAGTCACATGACCGGCCGAAGCGCTTTGTTCTGTTTTGTGCTGCGTCCTTAAAAGTGATGATAGTCTTGGTCGTATGTCAACTGAACAGATGGTGGGAGAGCACAAGATCCATATAAATGGAGTTGTTTCACCGTTCTCACGGCTTCAACCGTTTACACACACACCCGAGTTCAGCTGTGAATCCACCACAAGTGCCGATGTTGCAGACTGGTGACTTGTTCGCAATAAGGACTTGAAAATAAATGTGCGCGAGTTTAATGGACAATAATAATAATAGTGGGTGGGGTGGGGGGAGACGCATTGAAACGACACTCAGGCTTCAGAGTGAGATGAAGACTTTCATTGTGATGTAAAAAATTTGTTCCGTGGAATTCTTGTTCCTTGTTATGTAGATGTCATTGTTTTAGATATTTACATGTCAAACGTTAAGTGTACAGATTTGATAATTTGTCAGTTGGCACAAGCTTAGCAATTGGAACATTTACTGGAATTAGCTGAAAGTTTGTGGCTATATTGTCAATAATATTACCCGTTGACCACTGTGTGACAATTTGCTACATTTCTCTGCGTCCACACTGTATTCTTGTTCCGATATAACGTTAACGGTCAGCATTCAATTTTGTGAATTTCAATTACACCACTGGAATTAAATGCCGTGTGTGGGATGTCCAGTTGTTGGTCCGGAGAATGTTATACGTGGGAGGGAAAAGATTGACACGCATGGAATTATCACGGCAGTGCGGCCTTTGCACAAAGTGAACGTACGTGGTTGAATAAGAGGGAATTCAAGTGTCAGTGTTGGTTGATCTTGTATTGGTCTGTGATGAAGGGGGTCTCGTATAATTGCGCCGACTGATGGATGGTCCATATTGATGCTGTTTCGATGCCACCCAGCAGGATTTATAGACCGAGTGGTTTTACTGCTCATGTTGGGAGGTGTTTTTGTTTGCCTAGCAGCCTTGCAGACACACTGGGGGAGGGGTGGTGGTGGACAAGGGAATTATTTTAGCAAGCGATTGGAAAGTGGTAAAGTCCACCTTCATGATGCTCATTCGCAGAATTGTCGAAAATTATCAGCCAAGTAGTTGAATCTACATGGGCTATCGAACCTTACACGTTTCAGCCACAACACTGGACCGGCAAATCTGCTTGCACATTGGTCAGGGTTTGGGCTTTGCCTAAACCCTCTTACCGTGCCACTTCATTGCTTTGCAACGTTTATTCATGAAGGCTAAATGCTGATTTTTACATTGAGGTTTTTTGCCTCATTCACCACCTCCGACAAACATTTTCTTGGCGCAACACTGACTGATTCGTTGCTAGAATTGGCTGGACGGCACGTTTTGCCGGCCCCTGAGCAAGATGCTCGTTTGCATGTATTCCCATTGTAACGTGGGATTTGTTATGTTTTGCAATATATAATTTACTTAAACTGTACTAGTACACGACAATCACATGCAGCTTTGAAACCAAATACTGGATTAAAGTTTTGTTACCTGCTTTTTTTCGCCCCCCTTCATAAATGTTTTCGTATTTTTAGTTAGTATTGTTATAACACCACTGTTTTGTTGCCTATTTTATAAACATTTTTTAAGTACTAGTTGCTTTGAGTCGGATATTTTTGCTATACAATGATTTGAATCGTGCGGTTTACATTGTGCCGTTTTTTTATAAGTCTGAGAAGTGCAACGGCTATAACGTGATGCTGAAACAAAAACTAAAAAAAACATTCTCTGCGGTGATAAAAAAAAAATTGTGGATGCTCTGCTCTTCGCCTTGTTACACCATACCGCGTCACTTTGTGTCAGACCCACGGAGCGCCAAATTGTGGCAATTGGCGTGTTTCTCCTTCATATTGGAAACAAGGACCACGTGCGGCACAATACATGGTGCTCCGCCACACCGCGTGTCTTTCAGCTACACTTGCACAGATCCGCACTGTCGTCCTAAAGGAGTGGTTTGAAATCCACCGGAATTTGCTCTCCTTTTGGCATAATCTGGAAACGCAGGCAGTTTCGTAAGACTTGTGTATACGTACAGCATGTTTATATATTTTTTGTTGCTTAAAACCATTTTGGATTCCATGAACCACATGCTTACTCGGCATTTTTTATATGTTCTTGAAGTAATTTTCCATTCCTACATGTGTAGCAGTGGTGTGTGTAGTTGGCTGCAGTCGAAGGGGGGGGGGGGGGGAGTTCATTGAATGCTGTCAATTGATGGTGCAGTGGCATATCCTGCTTCATCATCTGCTACACAGGCCACGGTAATGATGTGCACAAGTTTCCAACACTACCTAAAGCGGTAACATACACAAGACCCTACAGTATTAATGGTCCTCTTTTAACAAGTTACCAGAGGCGATTGCGTTCAATGCAATTATAAGCACGTGCATTGCACGTGTTTTGCATGCAATGTCATACCGAGCACAGACGCGTAGCTGACCTGCAGTCTTCGGTGCCCTTCAGATGGTGGAAAATCGTCAGTTTTACGTCCAATGGCCATGCAACAAAGATTAATCCTTGAGCCATTGCATCAATGAAACTGTAAAACTACACTCCCTCCATAACTGGAAGTGAAATTGTCAATTCATCTCTTTCACACTTAAAACGAGTTAAAAAAATTTTTGCAAAAAAGAGAACATATGTTTGTTGGTTGACCCAAATATTTCTCTGGCTGTAGTGAATTAATTTAATTGGTTCGGCAGTCTTCAAGTTGGACGTGATTTTCTTTAATCATCTGCTTTTTATTATGTATTCACTGATAAGTGCATTTGTCGAATTTAGAACTGTATATATGTGGTTTAAAGCATTGTTTCCACTGTAAGAATAGGTTTTTCCCTTTATTCTGGCAATAAAACAGGAGGTGTTAAGATGTTGAAACACCAAACTAAAACCTTTTGCAAGGAATCATGTCTGCATTAACCACAGATACTTGTGGTGAAAATACAAAAAAAAATACTCTGACAGTATATGTAATTGTCTTTGAAACGCATCACACCAGAGACAGCTTTCTTTAGAGCCTAGTCTCAAACAGTGTTAGACCAGAGGAGTAGCACTGTGGACCAATCAGTTTCAAAGACAATGCATGTACTGTCAGAGCATGTTTTTTTGTTTGTATTTTCACCAAGTATCTGTGATTAATGCAGACATGATTCCTTGCAAGAGGGGTCAGTTTGGTTTTTTAACATCTTAACACCTGTTTTGTTGCCAGAAATAAGGGGAAAATCTATTCTTATATTTTGACACTGGCAAAGGAGGTCCCATGACATTGTGTCCACTGTTACAATTTTTGGAAAGTCAATATTTAGTACTAAATATTTGACCCAACTGTATATGTTAATGGCACGTTTTTGGTGACCTGAATTTAATAATCACATGACCATCATCTACATAGCCACATGGTAGACCAGGATAATGCAAATGTTTTTGTTATGTAATCAAATACAAATTCTCGTTTTCATTATAGTACAAGTGTTTACTAGTTCCCCATGTGATTTTCCGATTCCTTTTGGAGATGCCATATACGTTTTTTATGTATTTATGGTTTTTTACTGTTGCTTAATTAAATAGCAGTCCTGAGAACAAAAGTGGTTATGACTTGTGTAGGCGGTGCGATGTCATGACTAATCAGCTGGTTTGGTAAGCCTCACTCACCTAGCAGAGGAGTTCAAAAACACTTCTGTGGCAATTTGACACGACGGTGTCGCGAAGGACACTGCCTGTATATAGGACTCGGCTGAACCTTTGACATTCTAAATACATGTCGTCCTTTAACGTCTACTTTAGCAACGCTTTATATTATTTAATACATAAATAAAAAGCAGTCATTAATCTTTTCCCAGTCTGCGGATTTCTCGCTTGCAATTAAACATTAAGTGAGCATGAGTTAAGTGTGAATTGCGCAGAACGCTCGCTTTGCCGTGTGCAAACCTTGGCCTTTAGTCACATTGCTGTGCCTCCATGTCCATTCTAGATACAGTTGATGCGTAGCCCAAGTTTACAGCACTTGCGTTTATGATGGCAATGCCTTGCGAAGGTTGCGGGGTGTAAGTGCAAGACTGAAGCTATTCGGGAAGTATAATGCAAGCCAACACACATCCGGGATTTATACCTCTTGGGGGGGATGAGTGTCTGTTCAACACATGCCACCACCACGTATCCAGCAGCCTGTCCAGCCATTGCCTCTGTACAAGTGTTTGTTAGAGCAGAAGCGTTTTAGATCTGGATAGTGGTGGCCGTGACGAACAGCTGCTGGGTGTTTTAAACGGCTTTGATGGTACACAAGCACAACAACAATATCACCAAGTCTGCCATTAACGCGGTCATGTAAGGATTATTAAGATTTATAATTGGCTAAAGGCCCTTCTGAGTAACTAAACACTTCCCCATGTGTCTCCACATAGACATTTAAGTATTTTTACACAACCCCCATCAGCTGCACATCCTTTTGGGAATGCATCTTATCGGTGGCATTCGTTCAATACAAGCAAACTGCTCCGGTTTCAACATAAATTGTCTCGCTCACTCGGATTAAACCGCAGCTTCTGACAAGATGCAACCGCAGAAGGCCGTGTGGGTGACAGGTTGTGCGGAAAATATTTATGTGGAAAGATGTGGAGGAGTTAGCTACCATGTTATTAACATTCTCCACAACAGTGCGTGACGATGATTCTGAGCACGTGGGTCAAGTGAAGAGAGGCGTTTGCCTGAAGCGGTACACGGTACACGCGTGACACGTGGTCACACGGTACGCGTGGTAACACGGGCGGTGCTGCTGACTAAAGTGGCAAGTGCTTGTGGTCAGTGCTGGTGCACAGCGCTGCCATTGCAGAACCCCGCAACGTGACATTGATACAGTTTCTATACAGCAATTATTAAAAAAAAAATTGTACGTAGCATAACAATTGAAATGAAGAATTTGGTTATTGTAAGTGGCGGTGTACTTTTGATGACAGCAAAACAAGAGGGTTTGGGAAGGAGGGGTTTGGGATGGGGCTTGGGCGGGGGGGGGGCTGAACAATGACGCATCGTTGTCTTGGGAAGAGGCACTGCAGCCTTTGGCTATTACTGCGTATCGGGAGAATTCCCTCCGTATTCTCCTAACACGTAGGCAATCTGTTTGGTAGGGGGAGCACATTTTCGTGCGCTCGGTTTGTAACCACCAGCGGCAGAAGTATATAACATTGCCAGTCAAGCCTAACATTGCAAAACACTGCTCCTCCACCCTAAGATCTAATGCCGTGGCTTCCGAGAATGTTCCGAATATAATCGATAATAGTCGACTCAATTATCTGGTAAATAGGGGCAGCAAAAAAAACCATGGAAAATGCAAAAAAATGTAATACAAAAATGTGTGTTGTTTTTATTGCTTATCTTTGCTATGTATGCCGAAGTTGTGCAAGCACATTTGCCCATCAGCTGCCAAAACTTTCGCTTCACGATTACAGTATGTTACGTGTCTCAAAATGCACACGGTTAGTCAAAAACTCAACATTATCTGCCCCGCTGGCTAATTGAGAGTTGACTATTTTTGGTTGAGAGAGGCAGCCATTGAGTCTCAACATTAAAATTAACGGTTGGGTCAAATGATCCTCATGGTGGTACCCCGGGGTGACCAAATAATTCAAAACTGGCGAGGCAATTAAATATTTTATTTTTTGGGACACTTGTTTCCCAGGGGTGTTACTTAACTCCGCGACTGGGGTACCAATCAATCCGAAATCAGTGCCACGCTCCACGATGTCCAAACGCAGTGAGGACGATTGCGCTGAAACCCTGAACGCTCGCACGCACCGTGGTGGTGCATCGTGCACAGCTCATCGAGATGAGTCGATTGCCGCATCGCCGACCATCAACAGACTAAAAATTACTGCATCACGGATATTATGTGAGAGCCAGGGTACTATGGTACCCCGGGGGTACCGCCACAAGGTTCAAATGTTGCTTACAGTGCCTGACTTGGGAGCGCATGATCAGCTGTGTGTCGCGATTTGACCTCAACCCTCCATCTAATTCTGCACGCACACACACACACAAACACCACCTAACTTGTGCCTAGAGCGTCGTAGTTGTTACAGCCTTTTATATTTGTGAGTTCAGAGATTGCTGCGGTCCCCCAACTGGGTGTTGTTGGGGTAGGCTGGGCAGGTGCGTCTCTTTGTGGGGTGCGGTAGTGTAGCGGTTAGCGCGATGCGCTATGATGAACCCGGCGTCCCGTGTTTGATTCCTGCTCACGGCCAACATCGGTGACGAATATCTGAACCGGTCCTTGGCCTCCTCCCATATGTCGACTCAGCCGCAAATGTGTACCTGGTGCGTTGTGTAAACATCGCCACTGGGGAGACAAAGGCGGTCGGCCGTGGTGCTGGCCACCCACCCCCTCCGTGTGCCGTTCCAGCCTTCATAGGTGCACGCAAACAGCACTTGCTCCAAGTCTGATAAAGCTATACGTCGTATGTGAAATCACCTTTCAAACCACTTTTACTTTGAGTGCATTTGAAACATTGCTTTATTTTGTGAATCGGCGATGCATGTTTCCCCCCTTCTCTCTCTTTAGACGGGTTTACAAAAAAACTCCACTGCTGATGAACGCAATGTTACGGAGTTTCTATTCGGCCCCGGATGACGCAAACTTTGCCAGAATCACTGTGTTACTGTGACGATGCCCTCGAGGATTTTCGTAACCTCATGGTTGAACTGGATAAACAGTTTCAGAACCACTAAGTTATCTACCTTATTTGCATCGAGGCTTGTTTTGGGAAAATAATAATCGGGAGTCTCCTGACCGATCCCATGTGCTGCCCCCATAACGAGATCAAGTCATCGCTCCCAAATTGAACTCCGCAATGGTTGCTATTAAATCACTCGACGAGCCCTCGTGTGCGTGAACAGACTAGGCTCTTGTGTATCCACAATTATATACTTTAAGGAAAAAAAATGCCATTTGGAACCAAATTCCTCGTAAATGTGTGAAAAGTGACGTTTATGATTGCGTGGATCGCTCGCGTTACGTCGCTGCGGTTGGGCACTCTCCCACTTTCTAAGACAGCGTCACTGCGGTGACATCACAAAGGCGCTCCTGTTAATTAATAAACAATTAGAAGAAGAAAAATAATGAACTAAGATTCAATCCTGTGTGAGGACATGTCGTCTGATGATCCTGAAACAGGTTAAAGGCCCTTCTGGAAACGAGGCCTGTAGGGCAGGTCTGCCGGTAGAGCTGAATTAAAAATTGTTTTATGTCTCCAGATGCATTGTATAGGGGGGGGGGAGGGGGCATCGCCTTGTTTATTTTTGAACATCCAATAAAATGTATTGAGCACAAGTGAACGTGTTTGTGTTTTGTTATATATGTAATCACATTGAATGGTCTTTACCGATGCTGTCGTGTGCAAGCACATTTGCCATCAGCTGCCAAACTTTCGCTTCACGCTTACGATGTCTACAATGCACTTTAGGTATACATACTGCCTTTTGTGTTCTGTAAGAATGTATGTCCATATTCGGTGAGTGTGAGCACCTCCGTACTCTTGTGTTTAACGGCGGCGGCTTAAGCTGCACGTGTCCACACAATGATTCAAAGGAAGGGGGCACGCAGTGCCAACCGCATTTGCCAATGCATGGCGTAAAGAATCTAAGGCTACATGGCTGAAGAGGTGCATAGTTGATATTCACCAGCATAGTGCTTGGTCAGACTTTAATTGCTGAAGATTCAATGGCAACACAAAGCACGTGTGTGTAGGCATGTCGTTATCTCTACAGTTGTCACCATTCGGTGTTTCGTGTATTCAATTGCACTCTCGCAGATCTGACTGAGCAATTTGGATACTCTTTGTGCATGTTCTCACTTGCTGCTTCAATTAAATTCCTGACTAAAATCGGCAATCAAACGAAGTACAATACAGTCAAGAAATCAGAACGAAAGCAAAACACAACTGTCACATGAGGAATCAAAATATTGCAAAACTGTAGCAACGTTAAATCAAAGCTTAACTTTAAATTCGCTGTAGCACAATCAGTTTGGGCAGATTCCCTCCAGATTGATCATAGCATAAATGACAAAACCATGCAACAGACACATTAAACATTAAGCAGATATAGGTTGACTAGTATGTAAACAAACAAGGACCTATGTCAAGAGCAACTGCAAGTGAAGTTGTAAAGAATTGATGGCTCGGCATCAATTTGTTATTCAGGTGGGAGAGTAACCAAGGACGCGTGTGAAGCGATAGAATTCCAGGTCCTTGGGGCATTAGCAGAGTGAGTGGGAACCAGGTGAGTTATTTTTGCTGGGTACAGTGTGAGTTAGTGCTGTGGGGCATTGAATAAACTACGCTGGATCGGTGAGGGGATTGCGTTGAGTAAGCACTGAAGATGAACTTGGCCCAATGAATCTTCCCACCGAGGGTGATAACCGGTCTTGGAATAAAGATCAGAGTGTTGAGTGGAGTAGTTTGTAAGATAAAGCATACGGTGGAATGAAAGAGGGGATTGAGAAAATACAAAGTAGCTTTTAGAGGTTGACTTGTATGTCAACAGTCTTGGAGAGGCATAGAGGAGCCAGTGGCTATCAAATGTTTCTGTGTAGAAGATGGCAAACCGGATTTGTTTCGATACGAAGCCCTGAGTTTCTTAATTTGTATTCATTTTTAAAATATGAGATTTGAAGTTGACATGATAATTCAGCCAGATGCCAAGATACTTTTGTGAACATTTAACATTTTTGTGTTGCCGACAGCGGTTATGAAGAAAGTACATAGGCTTTGAGCTGTAACTAGAGTTGGCACTCATAACCATCACACTGGATAACTGTGAAACAGCTTCACAGCTCATCGGATTCCTCCAGTCGACAAACATGATTCTGATAAAGATTCTGACACTTTGTTTTGTTTTTGCATTCAGGTGGACCTTCAAACCAATACATTTGTTGTAATGGTGGTTGAGTCATCTTGTTATTTAGTCGTACAATATCTGAGCAAGATCCTTGCCGTATCTAAGGATGATGAAACAAATACAATCCTTGGCTTCAATGCCGCACATCTGCAAAACCCAACACCTGACATGACCAAGTACTCGTCACTTCCATCGATTGATCCTTAGCATCTGCACGTATGCCAGAATCATGAACACCACCGTCATCACTGCCAGTGCCAGCTGATTCTGCCAGAAGCCCCACAAGCTGTAGTCGATGCCTTGCTGCTCCAGGAAGTTTGATCCGCTCATGCTATGACACAGAAGCACATGTGACTTTTGGTTAGACCCAGGTAATGATCTGACCAATTCTGTGGCATTAGAAGCCCTTCACTACGTTGCTCAAGAGCCACATTAACGTAGGGCTTTTGATTTTATACTGCGATATTATGGCTGACGATACGCTCGCTTTATGATACATTTTCTAGGTCATTAAAACAGTTTCTTTGTGTGTTACTACCAGTTATGGGCCGAAATTTAAAGAGTTTTGTTCGTATTAACTTTGATTTAGCTTTACAATTTGTTTATCACATTTTAAATACTCGAACTGAAATAACTCAGTCTAATAACAATGGAGTGTGTGTGGCATCAAGCATTGGTGGCGGTAAACAGTACAGCGAAGGAACTGAGTATACAAAGAGAGCCCCCCCCAAAACTATAACGGCCCTGGACGTCCATCAAACTTATTCAGGCCCTGCACGCGCTCACCAGGTGGGTGAGTGGTGAGGCCGGGATTGGTGATGTATGACGTTTATATGCTTGTGTGCATACTCACCAGGTCATGTTCCTGCAATACTGCACGTCTTTCATTTCGTTTATTGACAGCGCCTGGAAGGAGATGAAGGAGGCGTGTGGTCCACCAAGTGGTAAAAGTCACATGATCCGATACATAGCCATTACCCATTACCTGGGATGTAGGAGGTCGATCCCGACCCTGACGCCTGTATATTTAGAGTTTGCATGTTCTCCCTGTGGTCGTGTGGATTTTTTTCCGGGTCCCCCACATTTTCCCTCCACATGAAAAAACACCCGTTTTAGAGTATTTGGCTGATATACATTTCCACATGATTAGCCACTTCGTTAAGCTATCATTTGTGGGCCATGTCGTTTGTGAAAAAGAGCTATATAGCTCAGTGGGCCTAATCTGGTAAAATAAAAATAATTGTTTAGTTTAATAAAAACAATTCTATTAGCCCATTCTTTATGCTTCTTTATTTATTTCCAATGACAGTATCAGATTAGCGATGGTTCATGCACTGTGCTACAATCCCATCGACTTGCGTTTTTTTTCTTTGGCCAAGTGCCACATAAGTGACGAGTGGCATTTAAACTTGCCCTGGGTTTCACTCAGGTCAACCCAGCCTTAATGGAGCAGCTGGCACGGTTCGTAAAGATTTACAACTGGGGTGAAAAAGTCGGCCGGGAACGGTGTTGGCCACAGCAGCTATGCGCGTGCCCTGTCGCCCTTTAACGAGTGCTCGCTAACAGTATCTGCCTCTGCGCTGTACACAGATACACCGACGGTCTTGTGCAAAAGATGACGGTTCTGTCCTGGGTCAACTCACGTTCATGCCGTAGCGGAAGATGCTCACGTACTTGATCCAGGACAGCCAGTCCAGCATGGTGTTAAGGTTCACGAGGAACCCACCAAACACCTGCAATGACCACGCAATGCATTACCAGCAATCAGATTACGCACAACCAGGCCTCTGTTACATTGGAAGGCCGATTAAAGCCCCATTGGCTGATGTACAAACACGTCACTTTACCTTTACGTGACGAAACAGACCTGTGTGTTTATTTGTTATTTTATCACTCAATGTGGAATTGGCCAAACATTCCAGCCAGGCCTCTCGTGAGAAGGAGTCTTGGGACTCGGTGAGGGTGAATGAAAAACTGAGCAGTTCCACAATTTCAGACTTACATTTCAGATGCAATATATTTGTGGGTAATTATTAGAATAAATCGAGTGGCTTTTTACTTGGGAACAGTGGGTTATCCAATTAGGGCTGCAATTCTGGCAGATGTAATTTTGTCAACTTTTTTTGATATAATTTATATTTCTAGAGCGCCATCACTCAAGGCGCTTGACATAGCTTACACAACGGTGACAATGGAATGCTTTAGCCGTGCAGGGGTGTCCATACAAGGATTGAGGAATGAGTGACAGTGATAGAGGGGTACTTAGGGATTATGTAAGGGTAGGGGAGGGACGGGAAGGAGTGGAGGGGTGAGGGGAGGGAAGAGAATGGGCAATAGAGAAGAGGTGAGGCTGTGAGAGGAATGGAAGGAGATTAAGGAGGGGAGCTGCTTAATGTACAGGGGAAGTGTTGAGTCTATGTGCAGTGCTGATTCTATGGGCAGTGTTGAGTCTATGGGCAGTGTTGAGTCTATGGGCAGTGTTGAGTCTATGGTCAGTGCTGAGTCTATGGGCAGTGCTGATTCTATGGGCGGTGTTGAGTCTATGGGCAGTGCTGAGTCTATGGGCAGTGTTGAGTCTATGGGCAGTGCTGAGTCTATGGGCAGTGTTGAGTCTATGGGCAGTGCTGCTCAATGTACAGGGGAAGTTTTTTGTTTGTTCCAGTGGAGGGATGCAAGGGGGGAGAAGGACCGAAAACAAGATTGGGCAAATGGGATGCCGGTGGTTTGACGCCGATTATGATCGAAGGTCTGACTGATGTGAGATGCAGAGCAGCAACTAAAATGTCACATTCAGGTGGTCAAGCCAGATAACCGCATCAGGAGCAGCGGGAGTGTATCGCTGTGAGGTCTCCTTTGTACTTGTGGATCGGGCATTGCATCGTTAAATCGGCCATACGAAAGAAGAAGAAGAGGACCAAAGGCGCCGTGAGATGATGCGAAACAGTGGACGAATCGGGGACGCACGCTCGGCTCAAGCGATGGGTGCTGCTGAGTGTAGAAGTGAGAGGAGAGGGCGCGTTCTGCCAATGTGCCTCCCAGAGCCTCCCGCCCTCCAGATGAGAAGGAAGACAACGGTGACGTTCTCGCCACCGTGTGGAAACTAGGGCGCACTGACTCTTTAATCCATGCTGGGATGGCGATGGTGCATAAAAAAAAATTGCGCAATGTGTCAAGCCAATTTACCTATTCCAAAAACCACGTTTTCAAAAATTATAGAGTGCTACCTTCAAACTGGCATCCTTTGTATTATTAGGGTTGATTTTGAAATTGTGAAAATGAGATTGCCCATTGGGAGGAACGGCCGACTGTTCACTCCGAATGAGACTTGACGCTTCATAACTGGTTTCTGTTGGGTTAGGTCGTGTAAAAATGTGTGTCGTAATCTTCCTCCACCCGACAGCCGATTAATAAAAGTGTCACGTGAATCAAACGTGGCTGAAATTAATTCCTGCTTCAGTAGCACCAACGGTGTGTTGGAGAATAATCTCACAACATTGAATTGGGTACGACGTTTCGCTGCAGATTACTGGAGCTCAGATCTCGAGATCTCAGAGCTTGAGATCCGAGCTCCTTTTAACTTGAAAATGCTGAATTTGATCTCCAACGAAACGCTGAACGCATGTACATGTTACGTGGATCGCTCTGTGTGTATGTATCATACGTAGCCAACCGTGCTAATCAGAGGTGCGGGACCGTGCTAATCGGAGGGGCTCTCCTGAAGCAGGAATAATTTTAGTTACGTTCTATTCACGCGGCACTTTTTATTAAATCGGCCGTGTCGGGTGGAGGAATGTTGACGACACAACACATTTTTTTACGCCATCCTAACCCAACAGAAACATCGGTCACGAAAGCCAACGTGTAAAATTAGGACTTCCACACTGCACACAGGGGGTGGGGGTGCCCTCGTGGCTATGCCTAACCATCATGAAGACGTAGGGGATGGCGATGAGGGCGTTGGCCACGGCGAAGATGCTGACGCTGGCAGACACGAGGAAGGCGAGGCTCACTGCCGCCAGGCTCGTGAGCACGAGCGTGAGCGCAAACAGGAAGAACGCCACCACGTCCAGCCGCAGCCCTGCCGAGCGTGCAACGGCACCGGTGAGCGCGGGCACGTGGCGCTGCATCGTCATCGTCACCGGCGTCGTCACCGCCAATGCAATCGCCGTCATCATCAGTAGCAGCAGCAGCATTAGGATCAACAACATCACCGGCAGCAGCATGATCATCATCAGCAGCAGCAACAGCAGCAACGTCAACATCATCATCATCAGCAGCAGCAACAGTAGGATCGTCAACATCATCAGCAGCAGCAGTATTAGAATCAACAAAATCATAAACAGCAACAATACCATGGTCGTGATTGTCAGCAGCAGCAAGAGAATCGTCAACATCATCAGCAACAATAATTACCACCAAGACCATAATTAATAACACTATCATGAATCACTATCAATATACAGCCATCTTAAAAAAAAATGCTTATATGGAGGTGACCAGCGCTATGGCATCATCATTGTCATCATCAGTAGAAGCACCATCATTTAAAAGAAGAAATTCCCATTACCTTCATCGTGGTGTCAGACGTTGAGTGATGTCGGTATTTGTACAGGAGTGAGCACAGACCCCATCATCACCAGGCTGGCCAGCTGTCGTGGACATGCCTGATTTTCTCTCCCTGTATTTCTCTGCTATGTCTTGGTTGGTAGACTGCAATTTTCATTACTAATGCTTTCCCTGCTTTTACCTTCTCATTTGTATTATTTTACTTCGTATTCAGATACAAAAAAATGTATTCACGCCGACATTTGGGCTTGCTTAGTTATCGACCTTATCGTGCTCTCGTGGCATTTCCCCTCCCCCTACCCCCACTAACTACATCGCCTGGTATACAGGAGGTCGTGGGTTCGACCCCGACCCTGACCCCGACGCCTGCATATTTGGAGATTGCATGTTCTCCCCATGGTCGCTTGGATTTTTATCCAGGTCCTCCGGTTTTTCCCTCCACATTAAGAATCAACAACATGCGCTTGGAGTATTTGGCTGCGATAAATTTCCACGTGATAAACCACTTCGTTTAGCTGCCATTTGTGAGAGCCAGGTCGCTTCTGAAAAAGAGCTATACAGCTCATGTGGGCCTTACCTGGTAAAATACAAATTGTTTAGTTGTATAACTGGGTGACATCCTGGGGCCTCACCTGGCAAGTGTGGGAATCGTCACACGCAATGCACCACTTCAGTTGGTGATGCATTGCATCATGGAGTCTCCCACGGGGCCTTGCTGCCACTGCTGTTGCATTGCAGCGCGGTAACTCTCATTGGGGTTGGCCGCTACGACACTGCGTCAGCCTGGGTTGGCGGTTGGTGGGGATGGATGGTGGTGACTGGCTGGGATTTCGGGACAGCAGACTCGGCCAGCCACCTCTGCTGTGCCGTGTTCTTCGACATTCCAAGGGAGACTCTGTTGATGCGCAGGTGAGCGTGGCTGTCACGCTCACGTGCAGTCGTTTTGCCCCCAGTGACTTTGATGTCCTTCATTTGCTCCTCATTTTTAATCCTTTCTATTTCCACCCCCCCCAACTCCAATTTTTTTTGTCCTGGTGATGTATTGTATTTTCCTGATTTTTGAGTTCCTACTAAATACAAATCCATATCGATATTTAAAAAGTCTCGAGCCAGTGGGTAAAAAACATGTCACATTCCCACGGCTGAAAACCAAGCTCTCATGAGGACACTCTCCACCATGAATGACGATACAAACATCACTTACCGATCATGAAGTAAGAGATTGCAGCGAAGATGACAATGGGCACGATGCGGTTGGGCAGCAGGTCGGCAAACACCTTGGAGAGGAAGTACGCCGAGGTGCGGTAATACCCACTCGAGCTCTCGTGCCTGCGAAGGAAGTCCCCGCCCCCCTCGTACACAGTGTATGTACGTACGTATGTAGAACTTCTTTCGCACCGTACATAGCCAACCATGCTCCTCAGCGGGGGAACTCGTTCTGGTCGAACGTTAACATTTCGAAGCAAGTAATACCCAGATATGGCACGAAACCCAGCTCGGTGTCTACTCAAGGGGTGGCGAACCCATTGCCCACGTGCCAAAAACGGCCCGTGACTTCATTTCATGTGGCACGTGGCCACGTGAGGGCTGCCTCTCAAAAACGGCCCTTGCGAACGATATTTTTCCACCACTGCAAGCAGTGCCTTGGCCGTACTGACCAGGTTCAAAGGACCTCAGGACTCCAGAGTGGTGCCGACCCAAATGATCTCAGATTCCGCATTGGAACAATTGCTTTATAAGACCCTCCCAACCTTGATTCGATAACTAGAAACACTTATTTGAATGTGTACAGTCACTTCTGTCACTGCAAGGCCCCCTTGAGGCATGTGTGTCAGTGTATGACCTGCACAAGGTATGTAAACGTCCTATCTGGCGATCGGTATGGGAAATGTTCCCCCAAAAAAGGAGGTGGGGAGTGGAGTGGGGACTGGAGGGGTTGTTGGTGTGAAACTCACATGAAGAGGACCCGCTCATAGAGGAAGAGCTCCACGGCCGACAGGTTCGCAAACACCAGGTTGATGATGAGGAAGAAAAACACTCCCATCCTGCACATACAATTCCACCACCAGCATCAACATCATCAATAACGTTTATTCTACCACCACCATTATTATCATCGACAACACTGCAATATCTGATGACGGCTTGGGCGGTCCTTCGTCCAGCAGTGGATTGATCACGGTTGACGACGTTGGGGGGGGGGGGGGGATGTGTCGTTGAGTCTTCGGCTTGGCTGTAAGACACCCACCTGTTCTGGATGGCGGCTGGAGGTTCGTCCGATATCTGCCAGTAGATGAGGCCCACGAGGACTGCAAAGAGGGTGTTGATGAAGTACTGCATGAACGAGGTCTGGGGATTCCTCAGCATGTTCTTCACGGTCCGTCCACACACGATGTACAGCTGGGCACACGGGGAGCATGCAGACTCTCACCTCCCACTCTAGTCCATGCTTCGGCAGCCCTGTGGGCTACTTGCAATCATTACACACAAAGTGCTTGCCTCAAATGAACCACAATACCTTACTGATCTCATCAAGGAGCATAAACCATCGAACAAAAGATGGTCGCCGTATTGCGCACTTTCAGATGCGCTTCTGCAGCCGTCTGGAATGCTCTTTCTTCCGATATTGGGAAATTACTGTAGCTATGCACTTTTAAATCGAGATTAAAAACTCATTTCTTTAGAACTGCTTTTTGTCTTTAGTTTGCCGTCCTTCCCCCACACCTCCGATTAGCATGGTTGAATGCAAACAAAAAACATACTCTGATAATATATGCATTGTCCTTGAAACTGATTGGTCCACACCAGAGACAGCTTTCTTTTGAGCCTCGTCTCAAACGGTGTTAGACCAGAGGACGCCAAAAGGCGTACAGCATTCTGACCACAAGTACTGTGGTTAATGCACACATGATTCCTTGTAAAAGGTTTTAGTTTGGTGTTTTAACATCTTAACACCTGCTTTGTTGCCAGAAAAAATGGGAAACTCTATTCTCAATTATGATGATTTTAACCAGTTTCTACTTCCTGACTTAACGTTGGAAATCGACAACTCTGTACTGAACTGATGTGTTATGAAGAAGGGCCAGTGCCCAAAGAGTAGCCTATTTAATGCATTTGCATTTAAGGAAGTGCTATTGACGAATGTGTTGAGTTTTTGCACTGAGCTGAAAGAAAATCCTTACACGCCAAACAAGTAATATGTAATCTTTGCTGCCAGCACTGAAGACAAAAGTTTAGATTATGTAGCAATCAATATCTTCAAAAATGGTTATCCTATGGAGACTCAGCACTACCATAGGAATATAGAATCTTCACTTTTAGCTTGGAGTCACAAACAGAGATCATCACCACCAAGTATTCATTGGAGCAGGGAGACACCGTGGAATATAGTCACAACCAACACGGTGGTGAGATGTTAACTACCTCGTCTGGTATACAGGGGGTCATGGGTTCGATCCCGACCCTGACGCCTGTATATTTGGAGTTTGCATGTTCTCCCCGTGGTTGTGTGGATTTTTCTCCGAGTCCTCCGGTTTTTCCCTCCACATTTAGAAACGTGCGTTTAGAGTATTTGGCTGCTATACATTTCCACGTGATAAGCCACTTCGTTGAGCTATACTTTGGGGCCAGGTCGCTTCTGAAAAAGAGCTATATAGCTCAGTGGGCCTTATCTGGTAATAAAAAATAGTTTAGTTTTAAATAGTTTAGTTTATTCCCACCACGAAATAATCAACATGATAATATTTTGCCATTTTCACCTTGCATCTTTCCCTGTTATCGGCCTCAATACACCTTGCATAAGTTATACAAGATGAAGAATACTCTCAGGACTCCAGAGTGATGCCGATTCAAATGATCCCAGATTCCGCATTGGAACAATTGCTTTTATAAGACCCTCCTAATCTTGATTCAGGTGAGATAAAACCACTGGCGGAAACTAATGCAGATCACGGAGAACTAGTGTGAACTAGTGTAATCATTGCCAGCCATGCAAACTCCGGAGAAATTGTTCCCTACCATTCTCTAACAGCTGCGGTGTGACAATTGCCCAGTCTTGATGATGAAAATCATCATCACTATCAGCAAGTGTCAGGGCTAAGATCATCATCACCAGCAGCAGCATCAGAGCATCATCATTCACTCCATCATCAACAGTAGCAGCATCACAAGTACCATCTACATCAGCAGCATAAGTATCACCATCATCGTCGTTCTCATCTCTATAAGCGTTAGAAGAATCACAATCATCATCCATAGCAGCCACATAAACATCATCACGGTCATGATCATCATCAGCAGCAACAGTATCGGAGGCACCATCAACATCTGTATTATCAACAGTAGTGGAAGCAACATCTGTGTCATCATCACCACCATCACGACTGTCGTTTCGCTGGTGGCTGTCGCACACCTGGTAGTGGAAGCGTGTGGCGTAGTGGCTACGTATGAGGACTGGCACGGCCGCCACGTTCCCGATGCCCTCCAGTCGGCGCTGGGTGTCAGCCCAATGGTGGCACGACCTGTAGGCTTTTGCCAGCTCCAGACTGCCGCCTTTCTCCATACTATCCTCCCCACGTTCTACATCATCATCATCATCGCAGCTCCCATTGTGCTTCTTTCCTGCAAGAACAAAGCATTCCTCTGTTCATATTCTTGGTTCTTTCGGTAAAGCCATGTAGAAGGGAAATAATAAAATAATAAAAATACAACATACACTGTAATACAATCAAATTCTCACGACGTTTCGGCCACAACGGCTGCTTGCGTTGTGGCCGAAACGTCGTGAGAATTTGATTTTATTATGCTTTATTTTGATTATTGTATTATTTCCCTTCTACGTGGCTTTACCGAAAGAACCAAGAATATGAATCTCTTGCAGTCACGAAAGCTTTAAATCGAAAGTTAATTCCTCTGTTTAAAAAAAACAACAACAAGTTAACTCCACGATTCTTTCTGCAGCGGTTGCACACCCCAAACTGCTCTGCCAGCGTCATGTCGGGAGGTGCAGAAACGTGCTCACAGAGCTCCGACGTTGAGCGCAGCATCACATGAAGTCATCGAATATCCCTGGACTACGATGTCACAGAACCACATCATTAAGCCTCTCTCTACCGCAAACTCCAGATGTTGATGTGGATATTTAAGAGTACGAATTAATGATTGTGTTTAGTTTGTTGTCCTTCCTCCGCACCTCCGATTATCACGGTTGGCTACGTACGGTGCGAAAGAGGTTCAACATACACACATTTTGAATATCTACATTTATTAAGATGTGTGCACATAAAAAAAAAAAACTAGAACGTGGATATCCTGGCAAGGCAACGTGTTTGTTGTGAGAAAAGTTACATTTCCTTATTGGGCCTGTTAAGTCGCAATTTATTTAACACAGGCCAAGGTGGTAGCTTGACAGCTACCGATTCACAACTGGCAGATATCCTGGGATTGTTGTGCTGACGAACATTGTCACGATGTACGTGCTAGCTTGGCATTGACACATTAACAACAATAACAACAAAAAATCTATCAAATGTCAGGGAGGTGCAATCAAGACACACGGTGAGAGGGCAGCCCTGCCCACATTTCTATATCCACACCCACTCAATCACTAGCCCCGCCCATTGTGAGTGACCTCACGCTCTCTGACGTTGGCCCCACCTACTGCTAAGAGGCCCTCTACTCCTTCGCTAAGCCCTTTGTCCATATTATGAATTGAGTAAGAGGCCAGAAATGTTCAAACTAGGACAAAATCCCGATCTTTTGCAAGTGCCTCAGGACACCGGGACAGCTTTTCTGAAACCCGGACTTTATCAGCCAAACTGAGACATTTGGTAGCTTTATGCCTCTGGTGCTCGATATGAAACATGGGCCTGGCTGTGAGCACACAGCCCTTTGCTCGTGCCCGTGATCTCGTGTTTTCCTGTCGGCGATCACGTGTAGAACTCACCGATTGATTTCGCTGTGCGACCACCGCTTCCAACGCCGTGATGCCCCGAAAGGAGAATTTCCCCATTAATCACGTCCAGGAAGAAATCAGGCGGGTTGTTAAACGCCTCGCACTCGTAGCCTGCGGGGGATGTGGAGATGGAGTTCGGAGCGCAGAGACAGGGTGTTGGAGATCGGTAGGAACGGCGGTTGCTACGAAGAATTCATTAAAACATAACAAAAATATATGAGGCCTCCTGTGCATTTGAACTCATTGGGGAATGATACAGACAAGAGAAGCTAAAATGAGTCCTCTTGTGGGGACAACATCGTTGCGTGATACACCTGGCAACATAAAAGGGCAGAATGTGCGGCACTGCGATTGCAGAATTCCACGTACGATCGTAAGGATGCAAGTTCAAATGTGAAATCTCAGTGGATTATTCATCTACGTAAGTAACACAAATTTTGGTTTATCCTTCGGAGCGACAGTTCCCTGCCATAGGAAAGATACATTCCCAGCACTGGTTGAGGGCTGCCGATACAATGAGCTCCATCCCAACCGCACGTAGTTGAGCAGGGAGACCCGCTTTGATTTTCACTTTGACTCGTGACTGCAGTAAGGAAATAATTAACCAGCAGACACATATTCAAATACTTTGATATACCAGTCAATGGGCAAATGGATAAAATAAATGCTCATAGGCTGATGGACTGCAATAAACATTGATGAAGCAAAACAGAATGATGGCTATTCATTATGGCATTTTATCACCCATATTACACTATGACATTGCATAATGAGTTGTGTACAACCCCACATTTTTGGCCATGTTACTGCATAGTATTATATGGGGAAGAGCAGTGGCACAGTGGTTTGGGCACTGCATTATGTATCCTGGCCACAGCTGTTGAAAAGTGCAGCAAAGCACTAACAACAGCACGACAAATTGAACGAAGTTAAGATAAATTTCGATTTCAAGCTTTCGTGACTGCAAGGATTCATCTTCTTTGGTTCTTTCGGTAAAGTCACGTAGAATGAGAATAAAATAATAAAATAACACAATAAAATTCTCACGACGTTTCGGCCACAAGACGGCCGCTTGCGTTGTGGCCGAAACGTCGTGAGAATTTTATTGTGTTATTTTATTATTTTATTCTCATTCTACGTGACTTTACTGAAAGAACCAAAGAAGATAAAGTTAAGATAACTCGAGGGATGGCTGCGAGATGGACTATCCCAAGCCACGGGGGCTCCGTCTTCAGCAGTTCTTGCGAGCTGCCCCATTACCGAGCGCCATCAAAGCCGGCATTGGACCTCGGTGGTGCCGAGCGTATCGTGTTGCGAAAAAAATCCATGCGTGGCAACCGCAGTTAGTACCGATGGAAGAGAAGTAAGGCACGGCGTCAAGGGAGGGTCCGTGAAACACGACCTCCCCGTGGTGCATCAGCGTGAGCCGGTCAAAGTTCTGGAAGATGGAGTAGCGTGGCTGGTGGATGGAGAAGATGACCGTGCGGCCATTGCGGGACAGCCTGTGGGTGCAAGGACAAATGTGAAGTGGCAAAGTTTACTGGGTTGTTTATAAACCAACATAATCTGAGGGCATGAAGAGACGGCTTTGCTGTTTGGGTTCGCTGATTACCATCAGTTTAGCTAAGGTCACAATACTCGTGCCATTACGATAAGTGTGGTGCCGCCGCAGCGGAGCCGCTCCAGCGGAGCCGTACCCACCGCCGCAACGCCGCCACCGATGCCTCGGATTTCCCGCCACTCTCCCGGGGCCGGTGCCTTCTCAGACGTCCCCGGTTTGCCCACTGCACAGTCGTGAGGCCGCCGCAGCAGAGCCGCTCTGCCGAGGCCGTGCCCACCACCGTGAAGCCGCCACCGGGGGATGCCGACACCGACGCTGTGCACCCCCCCCTCCCCACCCCCCCCCTCCCCCGCACGAACGCACACACGCCCCACGTAGAGCCGGGAGGGGAGATCACCCGGCCAATAGGTTTTTTTCCAGAAGTCCCTAATGGGATCGAACTTCATGGTTTCCTGCAGCCGGGAAATTGGGCGATCTTCCCCCCGTAGCTGACATGCACTGCGGCACCGTGACCTAATATTAAAGTTGCATGGTCATGGCAGGGGCCGTCGGGCCACCGCAGTTGGAACCACACACACACACAAGCACGGGTCAGTGGACTGGTAGCGAGAAACCACTGCGGTGACGTCACCAGCGCTAGGATCCGCACATCAAAGGACACGGGTGCGGAACATGGGGGTGCCACAGAATGCCTTTGTGATAGGTAGGATAAGAGGAGGTGATTGAGGCAGTATTAGGGACTTCTTCTTCAAGATCATCGCGGTCCCGGGAGCAGCAGAGTGAGCCGTCCGAGACGTCCGTGGGACGTACTCCAGCACCGCCAGGCTAGCCCCTCTACAGAGTCAACTCGCCGCCTCCTCCCCCTACAGCGTTCAGCGCAGCAGGGTGGAAGTAAGTGCGAGGGACAGAGATGTAAGTTTAAGTGTTTTAAATCCAGGGTAGAGAGCGGGACGATCGGTAGGAGAAATTGAATCGAAGACCTCCGAGGGATAGACTAGCATCCACTGACCCACACCATCACACGTAGATTAAACTGGTTACTCGCGGCAAATAAAATCGCTAGCAGGGGGATAAAACTGTGTCGTGCGGTCTTTGAGAGTGTGGAGTGTGCTTGGTGTCCACGCATCTGTACGATTGTTTACAGTAGCGCTTAGCGCTCGCGTACCTGCGCAATCACTTACAATAGTGCTTAGCGCTCGCGCGCCGGTGTGACTGTGTTACGATCACTCGCCTGCACGAGTGTCTATAGCGAGGTAGCGAGCGACGCGCCAGACGTGCGCGTATTCGCGCGGCGGTTTAAACGGCCCCTTTGAATCAGAATGCAGGGATTCCATTTAACCAGCGTAGCGCGCTGCAAGCGTAAAGCGTACCGCCCCGCTAATAGAAATATGCCGACGAGGGCAGAAACAAAGTCAGGGGTACAGGGAGGCGAGGGAGTGGAGGCCGGTAGCCCGGACCCCACAGAACAGCCGGGGGGTAGCGGTACGAGCGTCACGGGGGAATCGGGGGACAGCGGCCCCGACAATTCGGCGATGGCGGGGGACGGTAGCCCCCACACAAGTGCTCATGTTGTTTTAAACTGGAAATCCTCACTTGGTCTCAGTACTCTTTTTCAGGTAGTTCCTACATTGGGTTATGTGGACCGATTCCATGAATGGGTGTGTGACAAGTGGGAGGAAACTGCAGTAGGGTGCCTGGAGACAACATAGCCATACAAAGGGACAACTGTGTGCATCCCGTACAAGATTCAAGAATCCATTGCTGTTGTGCCCATCTCTTGGCAAGTCTGAAAATGTGTTATTGCATGCTCTTATGGGTCCAGTCCATGACGATTGCGCCGCAACCGATCACACACAGAGTGAGCCCTTTGCACTAACAACGCTGCATGAAGTCTGTTGCAGAACTGGGCTCAGACTCAAGGATAGATCCCAAACATCTGCTAGTAACTGGGTCCAGGTCTTCTGGGCCGGAGGCACCGGAGAAACTGCGCCGGCCGTACCTCTTATTTTTTTAAATTGTAACTCTATTCTGTCATTGCGCTTCATTATAAAATCTGTTTAATGTATACAGGAGTTGAAGGTGCTGATTTACTCAGTGTTGAATTAGTTAATTTGCTTAGCCTTTGTGTTGTTTTATTCACACGTGGATACTTCATTTATATTATTTAGATTTGGCTGCTATACATTTCCACACGATAAGCCACTTCTTTGAGCTATCATTTGTGGCCAAGTCGCTTCTGATAAAGAAGCTGATAGTTCAGTGGGCTTTACCTGGTAAGATGAAAATAGTTTAGTGTCATTTGTATATTTTCTAAGTTATTTGTTTTCCTTTTCCTATACTTTGCACTCCTATCGTGTTTTTGTATTGTTTGTTGTGGAAACGTTCTGACCCCGTGCCCCGACTGGACATCTCTGAAAAAGAGCTCTATAGCTCATCGGATTCCCCCAGTTTTAATACAGATTTTGATTCTGCAATATGCATGTTTTATGTCACCTTTTTACTGTATTGTTGTTTAACTTTATACTTTCCCAATAGTTTGCACTCTAGGACCTGTTGCTGTAGCGGCTCTGCCGCACTCTACGATAGCAGGCGCCAAACTGTGTCACGCCTTCCCACATGGGAGCTTCAGTACGGCTTCTGATATGAAGATGTACCGTTAAAAGTTATTTATTTTTTTCTTTCTATTCCGTTCCGATGACGTACACGTACGTACACGTGGGTCTTCGGAATGTAATCGGAAGAAAAACTGAATGGGAAAGGGTTAAGAGGTCCGCATGATTCTTGGGATGTGTCCACAGCATCTCGAGCAAATACATTTCTCCGAAGTGCTTTCGACGAAGACGCCTGTCTGTCAGCCATTCTGGGTCAGCAGAGCCATAGAGCATCCTCGCTTTGCCGGCATCTCAAGCACGGCGGCGAGCTTGAGATGGCGATGCGGTAGAGTCGTGCTTGAGGAGAGTGGAGTGGCCGCCAGCACCCAGTTGCGCAAGGATTCTTCGCGGGCCGGTGAGCAGCGTCGTTTTCTCTGGGTTGAGCTGCAAATGCTGGTAGCGTGGGACACGTGGGTGGTTGATAGATTTAAACCAGGTGGTGAATGTGCCTTTGCTATTGCACTTCATGCATACTGAGAGCCCATCAGGGTGAGATAAATGTGGAGGCACATGCCTGATCCAGAGGGCTGGTGAATCCACCAAATTTTAGGTGTCCAAGAGATGGCAGTTCACCAAATGAACTGAATCCATCTGTGTGGAACTTTGAGTCTTATTCTCTCCTATGCATTGGCTTCCTCCAGTTTTCTCACGCATCTCGAACACTCGTCGATGGAATTGTCCACACATCTCAATGCAAGGATCCTCCTAAAATATGAATCTTGATAATCGATTAGGTTTTTGTGAATGAACATTGGCCATTATTATTTATTATTATTACTAAGGGGTACGGGGCATTACCTGTAGAGTAATCTGATTATGGCGGTGGCTGTGTTGGCATCCAGACCCGTCGTGGGCTCATCCAGAAACAGCACGGACGGGCTGGTGATGAGCTCCATGCCGATGTTGCAGCGCTTTCTCTCACCACCTGATACGCCGCGGATCATGTCCGTGCCCACCTGGTGTCGAGCGGGTGAGCCAACAACATGGCCATCACCGTCATTGTCACCATCATCATCATTATCATCGCAGTATATTTTATCACGTCATTATCATCATCATTGACGACATATTCATCCTGACCACCACGGTCAACTGCATAATCATCATCATGGTCAATTGTACTGTCATTTTAACCTTTATCACGTGTAATATCATCACGGTTAGTCATAATTAATATGATCATAATCATGGTTAGCATTATCATTCTCAACATTATTATGATGGTCATTATTATCGTAATCATCTGTTTTATCCTGGTCCGCACCAAAGTAATCACCATTGGTACAGTCTCCTACCAAGTCGCGTTAATTATTCAAGATTGTTTATGAGCAAAGATCATCGTCGTCAGCCTCAATCGCTCCATACTGGTGAACATCAATATTATACATCAACGTTCATTGCATTTGACGTCAAACAGTACACTGTTAGGGCACAGCGTCACTGTGTCAACTACACGCGTGTCTCTACTCGTTCACTGCACGTGACGTCAGCGGCATGGTCAGGTACTGAAGTGGAAAAAAAACAACCTTGGTGTTCTGACACTCAGTGAGGCCCAGCTCCCGGATGACATTGTCCACGCGCTGCTGCTTCTCTTGCTCCCAGTCACTTCTCTTAGCGCCCTGCTGCGCCAGCCGTAGGTTTGCCGAGAACTCGATGTTTTCCCGCACCGAGAGGGTGCCCATGATGACATCGTCCTGTGCTCAAAACGAAGACAAACATGACTCCAGTTTAGTGCTGCAGGCTTAACCGTTATATCAGCCATGATAAAGCCACTGCTAAATAAAGGCCTCCCTAAGTCATCGCCATCCGTCACTGTACTACGATGTAAAAATCCAGGTAGCAAATGCACGCGAGCCGATTTCATCGCTCCCATCTGTCCAGTGCACGTACCCTTGACTGCGTTCCCACCCTTAGCTATCAGCGAGCACTTGTTGAGGCCGGCATTGCAGGACTGATGTTTACACACCACTCCTGGTTCTTATTTTTTCATTGACCTGGAGGATGCTTAGAACAGGTTCAGATATCCTTCGCCAGAAGTCAATCCCCAGGATGCACTTCTGTTTGTTAATTCATGAAATCAGGTGCCCAATTTTAGTCTGAATTGACGCACAGGAGATGTGGACCTGGCAGTGATGCAAACCGATGGCACATTTCCTGGATCCACATCTGGCTTCCCCACACCGTGTCGGTTATTTGAGTTGATTAAGTTTGACTTTATTTCATTTGTCGCATGGATGACCCCCGTTCAGCCAGTTGCCCGGCCATTTTCCAAGGAGAGATCCGTGGTTGCGTGAACACAGGCGCAACAAAAAACAAAACATCAACATTGCATAGAACGAGTACACGGGTTATGGGAGTTGTTTGACAGTACTGCACCACGCTTTTAGCCACGAAAGGTCTATTGCCCGAAAGCAGAGATACATTTTTCCTATGAATAACGGCCATTGGTCAAAACATTGTCACACCCGTCAACCCATACGGTTTTACCCGTATTATTGTATAGGGAAATGTCGTTTTCAGGTCCATAAAGCGTACAGCCGTTTCAATACGTACAGCCGTTTCAATACGGCCAGAAAGTAAATCATTTTTTTGTCTATTTGTTTGTGTTTCTCCCTTGTGATGGGACTTTGTAGGATGAACGTTGAGATTTATAAGGGGCACGGAATGACCAATAAGGTCTGAATTGGTCTTCAATAAGGTAGACACTGATAAGGTGTTGACAGGTATGCATTGTGTATTCTACATTTATTTACATATTTATTTACTTATATTTCCCATCGGTGGCTTCTACTTTAGCAATTCGCCCTGACAGCGACGTGAAGGATGGTGAAATGTTGGCCAAAACATCGTCTTATACCTATATAAATAAAAACCTTCATCTGTATGTACGTCTCAACACCCTCGAGGGTACTTCCCGACAAGTCAGAAAGCTTAGACTTGGTACACAGGTAGCTTTTAGGACACAAACAGGATAATTCATAAAGTCCGAGATTTTTCATTTTAAGGCCCCCAAAGGTCTATTTTAATTGCCCCATAAACATGTTTGTGCCTGGTGTCATTCAGAAACCGTTCAAAATATAAGATTGTGGGCTTTTTCGTTTGGTAGAACGTTAAACAGCAAATAAAATTTAAGCGATAACCGTTGTTCTATCTTTTATTGTTTTGGAGAAATTTCGGATTAAATTGGTTTTGAACGAATAAATACACATTTTATGATGTACAAATCTGAATAATTTGAAAGTGGTGAAAGATAGGAGCTTCCCCTCAGAGTATTAAGTTAATTAATTTTTGCTCTTTATCATAATACAAAAATAACAGAATCTCTAAATTGAGCGGGGAGGTCTTTAGATATAAGAAGTTGAATCAAGTCGTCAACAATGTTTGTTTTTTTTTGCGGAAAAATACACATTTTTGCAGTTGTGAGCGTCTGATTGTAGATACAAAATATTTGTAAAAATCACATGAGACGAATTATTATATTTATTCAGAACTTTTACCTGGCTTTATGAAATTGTTATAGATACGATGATTCCTTGCCCGCCCAGCCCCACCCCACCCCGTCGTGGCGCTCGCACCATACCACTTTTGCTGTCCGTCACCTGCACGACGTATCCTGAGATGAGGCGGAAGCCCGAGTCCATGGGGTGACCGTCCAACAGCACCGTGCCACCCTTCAGCCCCTTGGGGTCCTTCCTCCCGGCCAGCACGTCCAGCAAGCTGCCCGTGAGATTGCAAAGGGCCTCATTCACGTGCAGATCATCAACAATAATAATGTGTGAGTGAGCGTAATATGTTAATAAAAACAACAACAACAACTTTTGAAGTGGCCAGGTGGCTCAAAGGTCACGGCACTCAGCTGTCATCATGGAGATCGTGAGTTTGATTCTTGGTTTGAATATCAAGTACAGTGAGTTGGTCTCAGCCGAGTCATAAATGACTGCACGAACCCCCCCCCCCCCCCCCATCATATAAAATCTCATTCTGCACTGAATTTGGCCATATTCTTGTTCTGAGAATAAAAAAATGTTGGATTGAACAAAACGACCATGTGGCAGTGTGAGTGAGAAAGTGTGCCCCCCCCCCTCCCCCGAGTGCATTGATCAGAGGTCGCTTGTTGTGACATCCGCTTCCGTGCGCTGTTCTGCAATACGGAGAGGCTGCATTGCTCTGCTGTTCTGAATGGATGCTCCATCTCATGACACCACCTCAATAGAACGATTCGGGTAAAATTTGGGAAAAATACAAAAAAGTTAGGGAGACCAAAAAAATAAACAAATTGATTCAGAAATTTGCCACGTTATGCATTCTGGAAGGGTACAATAAAAACAATTTTCATTTATATAGCATCTAAATCAAGTGCATGTCATGACGCTGCACATGACGGTGACGTAGAGGGAGGTGCTACTGTTGAGTGAGCTAAGATTAGAATCCCACCACATTGACAGCTACGTGCAGTGACAAAATTGCCAAGGGTTTAAAGACCAATGAAAGATAAAACGCCTTGAAGTCGGGCTTTGTCGCCGTGTAGTTTGAATGTAAATTTACTGACTTAACGATGAGCGCACTCAATTCCCCATTCCTTAGCAGCTCCACTGTCTAGACAGTGTGTGTGTGAATGCAGCCCAGTCTCATTGCCAAGGACACTCAATTGATTTTGATAATGTTGAAGTTTTGTTCAAAACTAGCTACTACTGACCAAGACTAATTACAGAATCTATCGAAATTTAAAGAAATAAATATAACTTTAACCGTTCGGCTAGCTACCGCCTTAGTGCTGTGTGGAAGCGAATCATAAAATAATACATTATTTAAATGCATGCCTACAAAGGGCAGCGTACTTCAATAGGGATTACAGTTGATAGGGCTATTTTAATACACACAATAGACAAAAAGGACAAGTTCAAAGGGCTCGCATAATGCACATGCATAATGTATGTTGCCTCAGTAATCCCCCCCCGCCCCCCACGTGGCACAAGAGTGCAGAAGGGTGGTCACCACATCTACGTCTCTATATAAGGAACGAAACAGTTAGACTTCTCCACAAATTTGGCTGTCGCCTGATGAAGCTAGTTGTAATTACTGGCGAAACGTCGTACTCAGATTGTAAATGTTGTGGCTTGGCTCTCCAACACACCGGTGTGCTGTACTAGTGACGAATTGGCCACGTTCTGTTTACGTGACAACCCTTACTAGCTGGCTGTGTCGGGTGGTGGCAGGTTTTAACGACATATTTATATATTTACGCGATCTAACCCAAAAACCTGTATTATGGACTCATTGGCTATGTTTCAACAATGCGACATCAAATGAATGCATCTAAATAAAATTCAACACAAGTTAGAGGCCATGTATCCTATACAAATAAATCAATTTCCCTCAAATGTATGTGCAGACGTTAATCTGTATCGAAGTTCCAACATGATTTTTCAGAGCAGCAAACATTATGTGAAAATATGCCCTCGTCCATCACGGTTGTCAGACTTTTTTGGTTGTCCAGAAAAACGTAATAAAATAAGAGAGGTCTCCAACGGAAACAACGCCGCTGTGTTTTTTCTTCGATGCTTCCCACACGTTTAACCCAGTGATCTGACACATTTTGCTTGTGAACTTTGCTCGGGCGCTGCCCAACAGCGGACATTTGTCACTCACGAGGTCTTGCCGCTGCCCGTGGGACCCATGATGGCGTTCATCCCGGGCAGCATGATGCCACTGTGCGACAAGACAAGCGAGGCGACAACAGCACATAAGTACAACACGGACACTTTGCCTGAAGACCAAAATCACCCAGGCTGCGCCCGTTCTCGTAAGACCTCAGCAGCTAATTACGTCTAGAGCTTTTATTAGTTCTTGGGTGGGTGACTTCCACATCCGTTCATCTTTCCCCAAGTCTGGCCTTTGGCCCCTCAGACTTGGACACGAGTTGCGACACGAAAAGCCATAGGAAGAAGAACCCAGCGGCACCTGACATCCCGCAGGATCATCTTGGTCTCATGCTTGCGTCGGCATGGGAACCCGCAGCCCTCGTTCACGGAGTAGATGATGCCCTGGTAGGAGAGCGTAGAGCCGTGCAGGCCACTGCAGTCATCGCCCGGAGGACCACCCACACCGAGCTCCACGGTGCATTCTTCATTCTTCTGGCTCCGCTCTGAAGGTGACACTGGTAAAAGAGGCGCATCTTTGTGAAATTTTCATCAAAGCACGAATGTTTTTTTATTCATATCTGCTTCTGAAGGGAACAGAGGGCAGCCCCTCCTACAGACGGAATTATCTTGCCCATAACCCCCTTCTCTAGTCTACTCCCACTGGTTTCTCTGCCGTTGTTGGCTCTGCCTCTCCTCTGGTGGCCACTCTCAACACTCACCAGACACCTGCCACTACTCACCACCTGACACTGTCTCCCACTACGCACCTGACATCTGATCCTCACCACACACCACTCACCAGCCACCTCATCCCTGCCACGACACCATTCACCTGTCATCTACCTGACCCTCACCACACATCTGACACCTCACCACTTGGTAGAAACTCACCAGACGCTATTCTGCTGACACTCACCAGGCACACTACTCTCCTGAAACTCAGCAGACATCACCCACTACTCACCTGACACCAGCCACCAGCCTCATTGTTTCTCCACTCACCACACCCTCAACAAATCAATAATTTCAATTACTAAACAACACCACCACCACCACGCCAAACCACGAAATGAATACACTACAGTACACCACCACACACCATTACAGTGCACTACTACACCATTTCACTACACCACATAATACTGTACCTCACAACTACACCATACCTCTAAACTACACCCTCAGCTACAACGACACGGAACAGCATCCGACCACACCACAACACAATATTGTGAGAATTAAAAAAATATATAACAAAAATACTGAAACCGCCACCAATCCCCGTTTGTTCTTCTGGCGAGGTCCCAAACTGAGCTCAGCAGCTATTTTAACAAGGACAACCACAGCCCAAGGCCCTGCTGCATGTTTGGTGTCTTGGGGCACCGTTTCAGCACAATATCTAAATTATTCACTTCCCTGCACAAGTTCGGCGTGTAAAGAGTGGTGGAGTCGACTCGGCCGATTAATTCAGGGGCGACCACTCGCTGAGGAACTTCTCACTTCAACCGAGCTCTGCCGCCCAAACACGATGTTGCCCGTCCTGTGGATGGCTGCCTCTCGCCTGTGGCTGTCTCTCGCTCCCCCAACTTCTAACCTATAAAAGGCGTTTTTTGTCTGTCTGTCTGTCCGTCTGTGTGTATGTGGCCGACACTTGCGAGGGATTTGTCTCGCGAACCGTGGGGTTTACATTTGAAAAAGTACCCAGGTAGAACGGCATACGCCCCGTGATGAGCCAGCGCTATTCCGATTTTGCGTCCGTCACCTTTAAAGTACTTTAATTAGCGATTTAGTGAAGTTTTTATTATTATTTGTTTATTCGTTATTTGCGCCTCTCAGCGCGCCAATGCACGCATCTGCGCATGCGCACCCCCTAGCGACGCGCACGTGTTCGGTGGGGGGGATTCTCATTCGCGTTAATGCAACAAATAAACACACAAGACTAAAGTACATTCTTCAAAGTGTGATTTCCTCTTCTCCCCCCCCACCCCAATGTGTGCAATTACTACTATAGGGTCGGTAGATACTAATATTATAGAGCTTACATACTATTATTGTAGAGCGGGCGGGGGGATGATGGGGGGGGGGGGTGGTAGCGGCCCAGCCCCAGCCTGCCAGGGTGCCACTTTGGCCGGCTGGGCAATCTAGGTGAGGCCGGGGGCTCTGCACGGGACTAGGGACTAGGCCTCACCACTACACTCTGTGAAGTGAGAACTATTATAGAGTCGGTATATACGACTATGGAGTGGGTAGATACTACTGTAGAGTAGGTAGATCCTACTGTATAGTTTGTACGTACTGCGACTGTAGAGCAGGCGGTGGGGGGGGGGGGTATAGCAGCCTGTCAAGGTGCCACCTTAGCCGGCTGGGTAATCTAGGCGAGGCCGGGGGTTCTGCACGGGACTAGGCCTCACCATGGCACTGTTAAGTAAATACTATTTTCTTGCTTCTTTCGCTAAACTCACGTACATAGAAAACTAATATTAAAAGATTAGTTAGTAAATATTAAAATAATAGCGTGTGTGTGTAAAACGATTATAAAAAAAATTCAGTTAATATTAAAACAATGTGTGTCTAAGTCCATGTGTGAGTGTGAGTCAATGTGCGTGTGTGCGTCGATGTGTGTGTGAGTCCATGTGTGTGTGTGTAAGTCCCTGTGTGTGTGAGTCGATATGTGTGTGTTAATCGATGTGTGTGCGTGGGTCCATGTGAGTGTGTAAGTCCATTTGTGTGTAAATGCATGTGTGTGTGTGTGAGTCGATGTTTGTCCGTAAGTCGATGTGTGTGTAAGTCGATGTGTGTGAGTTGATGTATGTATGTGTGCGAGTCGATGTGTGTGTGTAAGTCCAAAAGTGTGTGTAAGTCGATGTGTGTGTGGGTCGATGTGTGTGTAAGTCGATGTGTGTGAGTTGATGTGTGTATGTGTGCGAGTCGATGTGTGTGTGTAAGTCCAAAAGTGCGTGTAAGTCGATGTGTGATGTGTGTGTAAGTCGATGTGTGTGAGTCGCTTGTGTGTGTGCACGTCGATATGTGTGTGGTTCGATGTATTGTGTGTGTAAGGCGATGTGTTTGTGTGGGTCGATGTCTGTGTGTATAAGTCCATGTGTGCGTGTAAGTCCATGTGCGTGTGTGTAAGTCGATGTGTGTATATGAGTCGATGTGTGTGCGTCGATCTGTGTGTGCGTCTGAGTTGACGTGTGTGTGTAAGTTGATTGTGTGTTTATGTCGATGTGCATGTGTCACTCGATGTGTGTGTATGTAAGTCGATGGTGTGAGTCCATGTGTGTGTGAGTCTATGTGTGTGTGTGTGAGTCTCTGTGTGTGTGTGTGCGCAAGTCGATGTGTGTGTGGATCCATTTATGTGTGTGTAAGTCGATGTTTGTGTGTGTGGGTCGATGTCTGTGTGTAAGTCGACGTGTGTGTGTGTCATTTTTGCCCGGGCAACGCCGGATTCTTCCCGCTGGTCCCCCCCATAAAAGCCTTCACCACCACCAACTTAGGTTGGCGCGGCTGTACGTCACTGATGTTGCCACTGTTCCACCTGAAACCCTCCGTTTATTCCCTCCGTCGCAATAGTTGTATGTATCTGCCTCCCCCATCCCTAGGCCGTATTCGAAAGCTACCTTGTGACCCTTCCATGACCTCTCCACTCCCACAGCCGTCCCCTCACGTTCCTCCCCAGGGCCAGGTCTGCCACCTTTGAACTCGTCGATCGTGTCCAAGTTCTCCCTGGGGGCTCTTTGGTGAAGGACACAGGACCCCTCCCCCCGACTCTCCCCCCAACCCTCCCCCCTACATCCCCCCCACACACCCTCCCACCCCCACTCACCACTCCACCTCCCCCCGCCCCAACACCCCACCAATCCAGTTGCATGTTTAAAAAAAACACATTTACGGGATAAAACCATGGAGAACCACGAGGAAATGGAGGAAACCCATGCAAGAACAGGGGGAGAACGGGAATCAAACCTACATGCTTCCTGCGGTGAGGTTTTATATCTTCCACGTAACCTCCCATCACACGTACATGAATTGTCCACTCCGCCACCTCTCCGCCCGTGGGTCCCCAATGAGTTGTTATTATTGTTGATGCTTGGCCCCAGTTGCTCTGTCCAGCGCTGTGCCTCTCAGTGTTGCTCTCTCTCCTCTCTCCCATGTTTCCCTGGCCTGCGCCCCTCCCCACTGAAGCCCAATGTAGTTTGAAAAAAAATGGTATCACTCATTTTTAGATGCGATTTCATTGAAATGACATTGTACATGGAAACTGATATATTTTTGAGAGAGGTTCTAATTTGCTTGGAGCAGTTGAAACGCGGTGTCACACGAGCGCCAGAGCCCAATGCTACTCGATGTGCGTGCGAACGGATGGTAAACTAAAATCAAATATTGAAAAATACGTTTTAAAAAAAAACACGCTTTAATGAAATGTACTGTCTGAGCTGCTCCTCACCCTGCCCCCTTCCCCCATCGCCCCTCCCCTCCTTCCACATCCCCCGCCCCTCGGCGTGGCTCCCCGACGCTTGCCGTAACGTAAGGGGACCGTGGTGATTTACAGGCAACGTGAGTTGAGCGTGGACAATTACAGCCGTAAACGTGGACAATTACAACCGTAAAAAATATTGTTAAAAAATATATATTTTACATATAGTATGACATACCTATACCAATTCTATATTTGAAGCTTTCGTGACTGCAAGGATTCATACTCTTTGTTTTTTTCGGTAAAGTCACGTAGGTAAAATATAATGAATGAAAACAACTAAATTAAATCGCGACATTTCGGAGGCAACACAAGCTTCCGTCTTCAGGTGGAACAGTCGCAGCAAAATAGCTGTATCAAGTGAAGAGCTCTGAGACACCCGAGATTATATACAGGTGGGGGGGGGGGAGCCAGGAAGGGCCGTGGGTGGGGAGGGGAGGGCTAAGTTAAACCGCCTCAAGATGAACGGATACTCTGACCGTACTATCCGCCAAGCTGTTTCTCCCACCATACAGAAACAACAACCTGATACTCCGATCAAAATCATCACACTGCCATACATAGCAGGCGTTACCAAAAAGATTTCCAAAATTCTAAACAAACACAAGATCCAGGTCCAGTTCAATACAGTACGCAAAATCCGTGATCTGATTCCATCCGTAAAGGATGTCATTCCTGACTTACAGTACCTCGGTGTTTACAAATTGAGTTGTACCTGTGGTGACTGCTATATCGGGGAGACGAAACGACATTTCTGACCGAATTCGCGAGCACAAATCAGATTTGAAACACGGCAGAACGAATTATTCGGCCGTGGCTGATCATTGTTTCAACACAGCGGGTTCTCATGACATTGTTTTCTCCGATACCAAAGTACTTTGCAAACCTCCCGGTCATTACCAAAGATTTGTCCGTGAAGCCATCCAAATATACAAACATAGACACAACTTCAACCGAGAGGATGGTTTTAAATTGAGCAACCATTGGAAAGATGTCATCAACCAAGTCAAACTTTAGCTGCCTTATAATTGTACAGCCATTTCCATTTCTACCAGTGGTTGTACTCGCTCTCGTGCAGTGCACCACCGCTTCCCCAGAACCCCCTG